GTCGCTACACCTTTAGCCTTAGTCCCTCCCGTGTGCCCATTCCATTTGCTTACTATTTGAGTTTGTGTAAACATAACCCCCAAGACGGATCGTGTTAGTATGGGTTTATCTTAAATTTGTGTATTTATGGTTGTTTTGTGTCGCTATGACGGATCGTGTTAACATGATTCTAACTTAAATTTGTGCATTTATCGTTGTTTTGTGTACCTATAATTTGTTTATTTGTAGTTTTTTTTCTTTTAAATGCCTCCGACGCGACGAAAACGAAACATAGACAGGAGGGCCAGGAAGGGTAATCGTGATAACGACCGCAGCTACAGAACAGTGGCGCGTATTAACTCCTGGACAATCTCAACTATTAGGTTACAAATGCGCCCTAACACTACCCCAAAACGACTTTTCGTTCTCAATTGGCCCTCTATTAATGACCTGTGTTGCCTGTACAGCGAGGCATTTAGAGAAGGAGAAAACCGGCCGGAATGCTTTAGGTTTATCAATAACGAAGATAAACATGGTCTGAGTTACACAACGGCAATCTTTCAGTTGACTCTTTTAAACTCATTGTAAATATTACTGTTATTCGTTATGAAGTTATTCGTTTTGAAATAACTCCTGTAATACATTGCAATTGCTCGAATTCGAGCAACATGTACACTAGTTTTGTTGGAAATGTTCTACAATAACCTCTCAAAAACCTTAACACAGTAAGATTACTTTGCCTTCTGTTTTATTGAAACCAGGCTATGTCCATAGTACACATGCCTGTATATGAATGGCTAATAACCATGGTGATTATTGAAATTCAAATTCCAACGCTTATTGCTCATTGGTTTGGTGTTCCATGTGTTTGTGGACCGGAAGTGGTGCATCACCACCGGAACTAGAGCAGTCCGACACCGGAAGTGGACGTTGACACAGCGGTTCACTAGCCTAATTGTGCGCAACCACTTCCACGTTTGTCAACCTTTTACCAATCTTTCCTGTCAATTACTTTTTAGATATCTTGGAGCCTATCGAGTTTGGCAATTCGAGTTTTTGTGTCCAAAAACATTTAGATGTGGTTAATGCCACATTTTCAATGGTTATTGCTTTTATATTGTCATGTTTAGACTGTTTTATGCGTTAGTTAGTAACAATTTTCATGCATAAATTGCCTAATTGCAAAAAACGTATTGTAACGTCATATCATTCAAAAGGAACCTACGTAGTCACTGAAATTGATTTTAAATCATACAAAATACTATGTATATTAATTACAGATCCAGAATCGCGTTGAAAAAATAATCTGGTTAAACTGAGTAATAGTTGCTAAATATACTTTTGATGTAATGGACTGCAGAAAAGTCAAATCTGTTAGTTAACTTTTGGAGTTTTTGCGAAAACAGCTTCACAGACAAAAAATGTTTTTATGATTTTAGTTTTGTAGGATATTTCACTGGTGTAATAGTAAATTCTACATCACCGTGAAGTTTTGTTTCGACAAACCTTTAATGCTTAAATTCAGACTAAACTTGTCAGTAGTCTTATAAGTTATTACATTAACAGTTTGTTTAGGTAGTATAGTAGAAATCTTATTACAGTGTATATGCTGCATATTATGTATTATGTGTATATGTATGCACATTATGTGTCAACGATTTTAGACGGAAAGTACGTCACTCCTGAACTCACATTATCTCATACATAAAATATAATTTTTTTTTTATTCAGGAAAGATATACCTATGTATTTAACATTAAGAGTAAGAACTCTACATCGTACTTAATAATATTTTAATACAGAAATCGCTATTTATTTTTAATGGGAATTTCAAATGTTTCAATTCATATTAACACTTATTTTTCTATTGGCTGTGTAGTGAAAACGCCCAACAAAGCACGGACGAAATCTTCCACGCAGGAACTACACTCTGAACAGTTTAATTTTATATTAAATTGCAGAAAGTGTTGAGACACGCTAGTTATATTAAAAACGGGCTCAACCAGACGAATTGCATCACATTGGTCCTACAGTATTAAGTCTGGAAAATACGCGTTCTCGTTAAACAGTTCCATTTAAATTTATGGCATAAGTAATCAAGATATTCGTTGGATCCTGTGAATTGTAATAGTTTTTAGAGTGTATATGCATTAGTAGAATGTTCGTTATTTTATTTCCATAAATAGGCTACTTTACATAGCTTTATAGCTGTATGTTATGAGTACTGTTTATGTTTTTTTGTTTTTTATTTATCATAATATTGTATGAAAAAGTGACTTAAATGCATTCAAAACTATTTAGAACAAGCCTGGACAACACAATTGGTCATCATTTGAGACCTACTGTATACGAAGTTATTTCTTGTGTAATAATCTATTGAATTTGATTTAGTATTTTCCCGTTGTCGATTTAGGCAGATGTAACAGGGGAAATTTTCTTTCGCTGTGAAAAATGTTCAAAACGGTGGTAGAATAATTAAAAATGGAGGTAAATGTTATACTTTAAATGATTTTTAGATTTCAAGTGGTTGGATGGATATCTGTGTATGCTAACACTGGTTTATTAATTCTTATTGTATTATAAAAAATATATTTTATTAGGATTCGTTCAACGCGATTATGTAAAGAATCGTCTATCTAATGACATTATGAAAGAATTATTAACTTTTTTATTTTAATAACTTTTTTAATATAATTTACCTTAATTTTTTATAAACAGTTTATGTAATGCTTCTAGACTATCTTGTATACTTACTGTGGAAATAAATTAGATTTGATTTGAATATAGTTTACTAAAACGAACAATATCTCTACAATTATAATTTAACAATTAATCAAATATTACAGTTAATTGTAGAAGTATTTCTAAAAACTTTTAAATTCATTTAGAGTGCTTAATCCAAATACATTCGCAGTAAGCTACAGCCGCTGGGCCCAAAGAGTGTGAAGACTATGAGAACCACGCCACATGTGCTCCAAGTGTTATGTTTTGGTCACATTTTCTTTGTTGACCCTTATTCTAGATGTTTAGAGTTTTATTTTTAGTAGCTACGCTGTCTATGTCGTATTCTAGCTATGACAAACCAGGTAAGCAATACAACTGTAAATTTTCTAAAAACTTGTTTTTATGTTGCCATAAGACAAATTTTTCTCACAATATTTTAGCTCAAGATAAGTATTTCTTTATGTATTCTTAAACCCAGAGTTATTAAAATGTGCATTCACACCATACATCTGTGAAAATAAAATGGTATAGGTTGCAGGACAGAATAATGATCTTAAAATATTATATTGTAGGCTACGTCCAAAACATTTATTTGGGTTGTCAGATAAGTTGTCTAAAATTATACATTTCGTACCTAGGGCCGAAAATGAGGTTTTGCCGGCTCGAGATAGTTTGAAACTATCAAAACCTGAAAACCCATTTCGGTCCGTGGTACGAACGCTATTTTTCACCACCACTATTACCCACAATAATTAATGCAGACTAACAGTCAACACAACTACAACTTTAAGGTTGTGTGAATAGATGATTTGAGGAATCAACAAAAATAATAACAAATAGTTGCTAGGCAACGGTGGCAATAAAACAAGTCTATTTCAATGCTATGGATACTGATTGTATATATACAGCTGATTTTCAGTCCTAGGGATGTAAAAATCTGCTCGGTCCCCAAATGATGATGACAGCTAGCATATACAGAAATACGTGGCTTTTCGCCTCCAACAAACGTTTGTAAAACTGCTAAAACATCGTAGTGTGGTGAAAATAGAATTTCAGTGGGTTTCTTCATCGTAGAATATTGTTCATATGCATGTATAAAAACATATAATATTAGTATAGTAAATTTATGCAAGGTAACTGTACCACATTTAAATGCATTTAAGATAAGTGATGGATTTTTTTTATCTAATAAGATATGTTTTAGCTCTTCCTAAACTTCTCCAAATGATGTCAGTATGGATACTGAAGTTATATATGATTTATTTTTTGGTAGCAGCTTACTAATCGTGGTCCTTGGTTACGAACAATGACAATACAGTGACTTGTTTAAAAATACAGTATACATAAATAAATACATTTTCATGCAACAACCTATAGTTTTTTTTTTTTTTACTACTTATTTACTTTGGCCGAAAACATAGTATTTTTTGTGTATCACATGTTAACACATATTTCATAATATTCACCAATTAGATGTGACTTCGTTTAATATTTAATAAACAATTATTGATATAAATGGTATTATAATTGCAATAATAAAACACTAATTAATAACTAAACATTGATGGCTTGGGGACTATGCGTGCACAGTTTTAATTTAGAAAGTAAATCAACTGTTATCCCAAATCGGTTGTTGCCGCAACATTGATATTGGAATGAATATTATTTATTAGCAATTCCTGAATTGGTATGCAAAAAAATTTAAAATTTCGTATAAATTTCAATTTTTGACTACACAAGGCGTATTACTTAAAAATATTAAAACATGTTTTGGGAGTTTTAAACTATCCTCCCTTTTACTACCCAATCTTTTATTTTACTTTTACAAGGGTTTGATAATTTAAATATAACTCATTGACTTGTATACATTGGCTACATAAAAAGTTACCGAATAGTGTTTTTGGCCTCTGGGGTTACCAATATGAAATAATTAATCGGTCCTGTGTCTAGGTCTTCCCTTGCCACCTACGGTAATAGTTTCTAAGGTAAAGCGTTATTGAATAATTGTTGTTTGTAGAATCTGGTTCTCCAGAGCCCTCTACATTTTTGTGACATTCTGGATACTTAGTCTGGTCCCAAAATAGCAGAATTTTACTCACTGCACATAAATTTAATTGTTTTATTTTTAGAGTTTAGAGAGCAGAGTATGTAGTGTCCACTTAATCTACACTTTGTCCCACTTACACGTATCACCCTGCCACTTCCCATGACCATGTACTGGGGTTGCGGTTACTCCCCACCACAGTACAACTAGAGCACATCTGTAGTCTTCCTTTAGTTTAGTTGTGAGTGTTAAAGATCCTGTTACATCCGATACACTGGTAATGCTCAATTTTACTTATCCATAGTTTAGTCACCGTAAAGTTGTATTTTTATAAAAATTTAGACGTGTCTTAATACTTAAATGTATTTACTATTTGGTTTTATTACTATTTGTACGTACTATTGGGTTTTAGAAGAAAATTAAGCAAATATTTTACGGTTTTAAATGATTATAGGTATTTGTGCAACATCAAAGATAGTATAATATTAGTTGATTATTTAAACATTTGATCAAGTAATTTTAACTCCAAACACATTTTTTTGTTGAAAGAAGAAACTTTGGTTTTGGTACTATCCAAAGTCAATTGGTTATTATAAATCATCACTAATTTATGAGTCGGGCGCCGCTAAAATTTTAGAGCACGGGAAGTCTATAGACTATACTAGAATTCTAGAGACAGTTTGACGGTTTTCATACATTCAATCACCAATAAGTTTTGTAGTTGAAATAATACCATGAGCCTTAATTTATATAAGGTATCTTATTGAAGAGATAATATGAATACTAGAACATAAACCGTCATGTTACTGTCCCGAAAGTAAACAATATTTAACATTCCTTATGGATCTTTCTAAAATATTTTAATGTTATTAGTGTAGGATCCGGGCCGATTACGTAATTTGATAATGTTTATGATCTATATCACTTTATTGTAATATTCATGAGAGATGAGTACACTAGAGGCCATATATCTTAACGGTTTTAATAAAAAATAGGACTAGCTGTTTCATGGTGTAAATAAAACGGACTAGCTGTAATAAAAAAAACTGCAACCGGCTCCAGAAGATAACTGTTACATTTTAATATTAAATTGACAATATTCTAATCAATAAATCCTAATATATCATTAAGCATATTAATTAGCAAACGTAGGCTAGTAATTGATGAATTAGTGTCCCTTGATAAATTTATTTACATTAATATCTCCGATCAATTTCAATGTATCAGCAGACAATATTTTTACCTACAGGTTTTATATTATAAAGCCTACACGTTTACGTGTTGAGTCACATAAACAAGTATAGACTTTTAAAATACACTTGATACAACTTGAAGTTTATCCATGCATGAATTCAAATCAATAAATTAACTTTTTTATTATTTTACTCAAACAGACTAAAATGGGTATAATTAAAACATATGAAAATAGAACAGGTTCATCCTACCATCTACTTAAATTCTTGTAATCATTCGATGTATAAAATTCAGCAAACTGTATTAATGATTTCATAGGGTAGAATAATTTATTTTACACACCCGACCTATTTTAGTCAACGCCTTCATCCATTATTTTCTCCTCAAACATGGAAAGTTTGGAAGCAATTTGGTCCCCGCTTATTAATGCTATAATATTTCATCGCAAAGTATGCATCACTAACTTAGAGACTAAGTTTGACTTTAATTGTTAGTTGAACAAACCCAAGACCCAATCAAGTTACCAATCTTGCGTAAACTAACTTTGATTTATTTAGTTTTCTGAATGTTTGTAAACTTTAGTGTTGCTAATTATTTTAAGATTTTTTTTAATGCCAGTCAGTTTTATGTTTTAAATAAGTAGTAATACATTTTAAAAATAATAATATTTTTTTATTAATCCAAAATTGCTACATTTAACATTGACAGTCCTCTTATAGTTAATAGAATAACTCTTGTAGTTGAATGTGGTTAAATTTTAATGACGTTGAACGTGTATAGGCCTATATAACTCAACATATGTTTATGTTTAAATGCCATTCCTTTAAGTCAATTACTACAACGTAATAAAAAGACAGTTTGTATTTTTTCCTGAATTCATATGTATTTGAGGGCAAAAAAATAAATGTAATCTTTGTTGATTCTATTCGTATACCTACCTGTCACCGTTGGTAGCACTACCACAGTGCAAACGAAATTATAATAGACACTAATAAACACGAAACATTGCTATTTATGATATATTACCTAAATTCCGAGCAAATTATGAATTACAATTTTCCAATTAATAACGAAAAAAATCGTTTAACCATAATAAGTTATGTCAAAATTGTATATTTAAATTTGTTACCTAATAAAAAATATGCTAATAAAACTTAAACATGTACTCTACAGTTTAAAATTGTATAGAGAAATACTTTACTGGCACACCTGCAAATCATTACAAACCCTTGATGTTTTCCAATGGTAAGTTATTTGACTTAAGCATGAACAAATTAATTTCGGAATCGACAACTTGAAAAATTATTTATTTATGTATAGATCATTTTAGAAAATCCACATATTACAATAAACACTGCTCAATATATAACAAATAACTAAAGACCTCTAAAAAAACCACGGTGACAAATCAGGTACATTTTCAACCCGAAATATAAACGAGCCATTTAGCGGGCATCTCCCAATGCACTTAACAATATACTGTTGCTATTTATTACAAGGGAGCTTTGCCTTCAAATGTTTGCTTTGGGACAATTTATCCTCAGAAGCTTTTAAATCCACTCTATTATCCCAACATTGTGTGTGGTTTGAATTAAGTGCTGCTTTTATGAGAATAAGTCAGAATAATTTTATCTTGGGTGTTGAGTAAAAACTAAAATTTGGTATTTAAATATTTCTGAGTGGAATAACTAAGGACATTACTTTTTGATTGAATCAGCACACTAGTTGGTAGTTAATCAAATTCAAGTTCATTTATTTTATTACAGGACTAATGCGTTTTTAACGTATTAAGATAATAATATTTTCCTTCTTGCAAAGTGTTAAAACAAAAATTCGTACAAATAAGATTAATAATCATTATATCCTAGCTCTATTATAAAATATTAAATTAGTTAAACTATTAGTATTAGTTAATAAATGTAACTTTGACTATACAACCATTTCAACAAACGAATAAACTATTCTAATTTGGACAGTTGTTTGAAGTTATAATCGTTTTACTGTCATATGTTGTCCGATGAATATATTGTGAAGGAATTATATAAATCTTATTTTCCCAATGCAATGGCCTAAATTCACTTATTTTGGTAAACTTATACCACTTAAAGTATGCCGTTTATGTTTGAAGTAAATACTATTTACACCACTCTACACTATTTTGTCGAACTTCCCACGCAAGGATTTAGTCCAGGGAACAGCTGTTTGCCACCCGATTAATCAAATGGGGTTTCATTACGTACTACTGTACTGTAATGAGTTTTTACCGGACACCAAACCGCTAATTATACTGTATTTGGAAATGAGTGGTTATAAACAAAAACATAACCTCTCTTAGATTTTATGACAAGTGGTTGTTAGTCCTTTAGTTGGTGGTAATATATACGGATTTGTACAGATTTAGTAGTATGGCGTAAAATATCGTACGTCACTCGTCCAAAATGTGTTTACCGTATGTTAATCCCGAACTCGACTTCGTCTCGCACGGGAACGACCACACTCGTCCGGCATACACCGATCTTCTGGACTAGTAACGTAATATAATGTTACGGTTGATAAAATATAAAGTGTAAATACTTCCTTTAAATATTTAGATTAGATTTAGATTACGCCGTTTCTTATTATTACATGACGAAACATGAAAGCTACATTCATTTAATTATCCATGGTTAATTTATAAACATCAAGCTGCTATATAATTAGATAAATAATATATTTATGTGGTATTAATGCTTTGTATGTGAAAAGTTTTTTGCAAACAATTCAAAAGGCCGTTTCCCATTGTACATTAAACAACCTAACATCAAAGTAATTCTCCCAGGGAAAACACATTATAAATCATGTAATTAGTATGTATGCAATGTGTAACTTCTGGTAGTGTCTTAAGCAAGATATATCAGTTATTTATTGTACTACAACAATAAAAGTGATGTAATTAATTGTTGCTTCAAACAGTTCAGTAAGACAACCAGTAAGTCATCTACTTATACATATTGTTTTTACATTACATGATCTTAACTATTTGAATAAAATATTTTTTGTGAAAAAAAGTTTAGATAATTCACATTTTGTTTCAATTTCAGTTTATGTAATCGTTTGAATACAACAACCTTCTTTAACCAATCAAAGCAGGATAAAGTTGCTTGAACGAGCTCCACTCGTTGAGTCAAATGGCTGACTACCAAACTTTAACATATGTATCTGCGACTATGAGTATGGATTACATGGATTACATGTGACTATGACCAATGAAAATCTTTCTGTGAAATTTTCTCTCTGATTCTCTGATATGTGACCATGGCAATTTGTGGTTCTCATACTTTCTTTTATCCACATTGAGTAAGATGTACATTATCTGGACGAATGCCAATCGTGGCCTGTAAGGCTGCATGACTATGCTATATGACTGTACCTAGATCCGGAGGGAATCCCGGAACCGTGACACACAAGACGGTCAAGGCAGCCTGGAGTCTCTAGGCTTGCAGAAGTCATTCGGTAGCACTACCGGATGCAAGACATTATATATTTATATCTTCTGGAATAGTTTCTTAGTTTTATATCGTGAACGGGTCGAGGTAGGTGTACAGTACCTTTTTTCATTAATTGTTTTACTAAGAGTTTAACTTTTGGATATTTAGTTGACCCATGTGGACCAGTTATAGAAAATGTTTTAATTGGGTAGAATATAGGCGAAAATTTATTATTTCTGAGTATGCTACTAATTATATTAATTCCATTAGCTTATGTTACTGCGTTAGTTGGTGTGAGATTGAGGTTGCTATATTTTCCAACAGGTTGTCCTTTAAGTTTGGTTCAGTTGATAAGTTCTAAATAATCAGTAATTTATATCAGCACCCTGTCGTTACGTATGTAAACTTGTTTCCTTTACTTGGATTTATAAGCTTTATTCTTTCACTTTCACAGACAGCGAAATTACAATTATTATTATAAGAACGGGGTGTCTAATATTTTTAGTCATTTGAATTTATATGTATTACTAATATAAATTATGTTTTATAAAATATGGTCGAGTAGTTAATTTTATCATTATTCATTAATTTTCATGCAAAAAGATTATTATATGTTATATTCTTGTTAATCGTGATGTTAGTATTTTAGTTCTCTTTACGATTGTACTTTGTGGAGAAAACGTCGTTTGCTAAATATTTCAGTTGCGATTTATTTTATAACATTAGTTCTCACAAACATTGTCTTCTGGCTAAATAAATATGAAGCAGGATATACTGTACCACGTTTGGAATTATATCAGTTTTATGAGGCAACTCGTTGATTAAAATATAACATGAAAAAATGTTGTTACAATAATATTTATTAGTCCAGTCAACGAAGCTGAATGAGTAGGAAAAAATGGTGTAGTCCCGGATTTTTGCACAGTTGTAGGGGATACCCTCCTGAACAACATACTAAAAGTCCTGACTGATGGGGTGTGAGCTATGGGGGGGAGGGGGGTGTAAATGCACAATTTTTCGATTTTCTGTAAATATCTCAAAAACGGTGCCCCCTAGCGGTAAAATGTACTTTTACAAAAATGAAGAGGATTAAATTTCCAACAATAATGGTCATTACATCGTGTTCCTAAAATCAACACTTAACGAGATACATGGGTCATAAGAAAAAAACATTTAGAGAAACTAGTATTATTGTGGTAAAGTGATTGTTTTATACCACATCAAGTTATATAAACTGATAAAAATATGCTAAATACTCGTCTATGCAGTACAGCTGTTGAAAAAATTGAGGGGGGAGGAAGTCAGGCCGGACTGGAAGCTGAGAGACCAAACAGTGGTAACCATAATAACATACTGTAATATTAAAGCTAAAATAAACTGTTCAGAAATTGTTATTACACCTGTCTTTTGGGATCCCTTTTGTACTGTACTAACAGCTGATACGTTTATGTTTACATTTTTTAGTAAAAAACTTAGATTTCACAAACAACCATCAAAATGCTGTTGATTTATTGTTTATTGTTTGGTTAAATTAACGAGCTTATAATCTCATTGATTTAATAATAGTATATACAGTATACAGGGTGATCAACTCAAGGAGGCCACCTTTGGGATATCGGAAACGGTAAGAATTAGAGAAAACTTTAAATGGGGAACATTTCTTTATTTTTTGTGGCAGTTAAAAATATGATTTACTTTTTCAAAATTCAGCCGCCATTTTCAAAAATGGCGGCCAACTTTGAAATTTCTTATGAAACACCCTGTATTTTATCATGTTTTCGGATAGAACATACAATTTAAAAACTTTTTTATTCTTGACATTTTTTCGATAAACCCACTCGTTTAGGAGTTACAGCCTCGGAAAAATGACTTCCGGTGTACATTTTACATCATGTAGCTCCAAAAAAAATAGGTTTATAGCAAAAATGCGAAGAGTAAATAAGTTAAATAAGTCTTAAAATTGCATCCACTTTCCAAAAAGTCCATAAAATTCGTCAAAAATATTAATTCTATTATTTAAAAATGGCGGCCATTTTCCAAAATGGCGGCAAACTTTGAAAAGTGGAAAACTGTGTATTTTATGGTCTTAATGGAATGTGGGTGCAATTTTAAGACTTATTTGACTTATTTACTCTTCGCATTTTTGCTATAAACCTATTTTTTTGGAGCTACATGATGTAAAATGTACACCGGAAGTCATTTTTCCATAGGCTGTAACTCCTAAACGAGTGGGTTTATCGAAAAAATGTCAAGAATAAAAAAGTTTTTAAATTGCATGTTCTATCCGAAAACATGATAAAATACAGGGTGTTTCATAAGAAATTTCAAAGTTGGCCGCCATTTTGGAAAATGGCGGCTGAATTTTTAAAAACTAAAATCATATTTTTAACTGCCACAAAAAATAAAGAAATGTTCCCCATTTAAAGTTTTCTCTAATTCTTACCGTTTCCGATATCCCAATGGTGGCCTCCTTGAGTTGATCACCCTGTATAGTTCCCTCTGTTTGGTCTCTCAGCTTCCAGTCCGGCCTGACTTCCTCTCCCCTCATTTTTTTCAACAGCTGTACTGCATAGACGAGTATTTAGCACATTTTTATCAGTTTATACAACTTGATGTAGTATGAAACAATCACTTTACCAAAATAATTCAAGTTTCTCTGAATGTTTTTTTTTCTTATGACCCATGTATCTCGTTAAGTGTTGATTTTAGGAACACGATGTAATGGACATTATGGTTGGAAATTTAATCCTCGTCATTTTTGTATCAGTACATTTTACCGCTAGAGGGCACCGTTTTCGAGATATTTACAGAAAACCGAAATATTGTGCATTTACACCCCCCTCCCCCCATAGCTCACACCCCATCGGTCAGGACTTTTAGTATGTTGTCCAGGAGGGTATCCCCTACAACTGTGCAAAAATCCGGGACTACACCATTTTTTCCCGCTGAGGGACATATTTTGAGCTTTGTTGACTGGGCTATATACTTCTTGACAATATTATCCTCAAAGTAAGCAAACACCGCTAGTCCTATCGTTAACAGTTTACTTCTTAGATTTATTTTAATTGCTGGCGAAAGTAAAACCATGTTGTTTAGTGAAACTCAATCACTCCATAAATTTGACATAATGTTGAAGTCAATTATGCAAAGCCTGGGTGGTGAATAATGTTTTAATCGTTGCATTGTTGATGTAATTATTTTCAACTGAAGAAATCTTTTAGGCTAGTGATAAATTAAACCGCATTATTGTAGTCCTAGTGTTTTATTTCAGTCGATATAACATAAAACCGCACTTTTCATCTTGTTCAGCTATTCTAATTATTTTGTTCAGCAAAACAATCCTTTATATGGACCTTTAATAATATAATCTATCTCTACCAATCGTAGAGTACAATTATTTTTAATTTATTTCACTTTGAAATTGTTAAAACTTTAAGGATTACAATTAACTTTAATAATATTATTGGTAAATATTTTCAAGGAAATTTCAATTTACGCATTCTGTTTTGAAATTATAACTACGAAATATATTTATAACACGTAATTTTTCTTCCTCGGATGTTAACAGTTGTTATGTTTAATTAATATAAAAATGTTGCCACATCTAATATTTTTAAAACTGACAGACCAAAACCCCAGATGACCTAAAACAAAATAAAACACTACAAAGAAAGGCAAATATAAAAAATGGCAAATAAACGTTTAGCTTAATCACCAAATTCATTTTGGTTAAAGTGCTTTGCTTTCAATCAGCAAATGCAGAGCAGATGCTTCAAGCAGAATGAATTAGTGGCCCAATTAACTCTTTTAAACCTACGTGAACAATAATAAAAACCAGCCAGCGTGCATTTGTTAACTTGTTTTATCATCTAATTAAACATCCAGCTACAGTCGAGTTCAACACCGCTTTGCTTAGCAGCAAATTCATCGACTTGTACCACGCTTTCTTTTTTCTTTTAATTATTGGAGTATTTAAGCCATTTATAGGTAAACTAGTAACTTTTGAGGTACCGGTATTCAATTTTAGGTAAAAGACAACTACTCGCAGATCCCTAGAGTAAGAAAAGAATTTTTTTAAGGTGTTCAGTGTTCAATTCTAGCCCAAAATGCTACTAGAACCCATAGTTTAGGAAAAACAGCACTCTTAACACCCTTGAGAAATTTCACATTTTAAGTCCCTAAAATAGGAGAGCGTTAATGAATTAAATGATAAATAACTAATCATATAGTTTACACCAAGATTTATAAAAATCATCCAGACATCTCAAGTTTGTCGGATGACTGTATCTTCAGCTGACAAGGAGTCCCTATCATAAGGTATATTATTCTAGTTGGCCTTTGAAACTGATCACTGACGCCGTCGCCCTCAGTGTTCTCAAGCCGGCTCCAGCAGTGGTAATAAATAAGTACAAATTTGTCACAGGCCTGTTTTCCGTCCGCGAGAACTATGTACTTCTATTTTCATCAAGAGGGTACCACCCGCCGGCTGGTTACCACGTAAACATGGCCCTACAAAAAGAACCTCGTGACTTTAATAAAGTGTTTATCGAGTTGAAATAAACTGTCAAATATTAACTTAGATCCAAACTATGCCCTGGCGTAACTGTTTCTTTAAGTATTTACAAAATCATTTTGACAATCCGTATATTAGTCTTTTTACATGTGATTTTAGCTTCTAAATAATAGTATTTACTATAGTCAATTATAATAGTTAAACATCAACCATATATTGCAAGCTCTAAAATGTTAAGAGCACAAAAAGCACACAATCATTGGAAACAAATTTAATTAGTTTTAGAAAGTTGTAGAGACATGTTTAGAAATATTAGCATGTTTAGCCGCCATCTTGAACTGACCGGGTGGAACCCTCTTAATAATGTGCGTTTCCTGGTATGTTTTTAATTTGTGTTCGTGTAAATATAACCACTTAGACGACTACGAATTGGCCGACTATGTGATCACATTATTCGATGAAGACTGTATTTTTTCCTCTTAGTTAGTCTAACACGTGAGACATTAGTTTAAAAAAAATATTATTTAAATTTGTTGTTAACGTTCTGTATTGTGCATTGTCTTGAAATGAAATTTATTTACTGGGAGAAAACAATATTCCTTTTCTTATACATATTCATATTTCTTGGCATGGTACCTACGTGATCATGACGCAACTAGCGTGGTAACCTTGGTTGTAGATATACCTACAACTATTCTTGACCTGGGAATAAAATAAAAGGTAGATAGACTACTACATCAAAAAGTAGTAGACCTATTTTAATTGAGTTTTCTTATCTTCTACCATGTTTTTATATCATTTTGTTACAGATCTAGCTATGGGGACTCTGGTAGTAGACTCTGTACATCTTTACGAGAAGGAAAACGCCAAGCAACATCACACGGACAAGTACGAGGCTGTACACAACTCTCCTCCAACACCCATCCTGCGACGAGGACAGACGTTCTACCTGGTGGTCAGGTTCAGGAACAGAGGATACCAGGAGTTCAATGACATCGTCAAACTCATCTTCAGCTACGGTGAGTGTAGCGGAACTTTATTGAGAGCTGAGTTCAATACTTTACTTGAAATGGCGACCATACGAAAGTAGGTACTTTAAGTATAAATGGAGATGAGTGTATGAGTGGTGCAATCTTGAAGTCTTGTTGACTAAGGCTGACATGTTCTTTTGACAGAACCGTTGCCTATACAGCCAGTGGCAAAGGGACCTATATAGTGGGTTCCGAATCACATTTTTCTTGTTACGAATTGGTCAAATTATCAGGATAGTACTGCAGATAGCCATAGTACTCACTAGTTCGGACGTAAATCCACACCAAGGAGTATTGCATCCACAGATCATGCCTATATCTACAATTCGTGACTTCCAAGTAACTGGATTACAGAACGACGCCATGATCCCAGTCTTAAGTTGTTACACCTGTAGTGCTTGCCTTCAAAATAGATCAATCAGAATCATTCATGGCCTCCCCTTAAAACATACTTTTAGGGCTGCATTTAAATTACCCACTGTTCTAGAATTTTTCTGTATATATCTATTCTGGAAGCCCTCACTTTTCTAAAGTAAATTACACGCGTTTTCACACCACAATCCACTCATGTCTGCTTCGTAAATTTCAATCTGAGAATTCTAGCTCATTAAATTACCTTCTTTGAAAGACATCTTATACCATGATTATGCTATTCAATGCTCTTCCTCTTCAATCAATTCCAAATCAGACCCGGGATACTTCAAAAGACTATTGATAGTAATTTCTCGAGGATAAAGGCTATTATAGTTTTTGTAAATATTTCGTTGACGGACTGGACCAAGAAATTTCAATTTTAATTATAACATGATAATTTATAGTTGATCTGGTAAAGTTGACTTGACTAATGGATGTAAATTTTCAATTTGGCTTAATATATGAGTTATTGAGCTACAATCAAAAAGACGTTGGTTTGATTCTGCGAGAGAATAGAAGCTTTTTGATGGTTCAAAACTTGTCTTGGTTTCCCGAGGTGGTAATAAGGAGTTGAGAGAGGATAGAATCTTATGGTTCAAAACTTGACTTAAATACCCGAGGTAACCATAAGGAGTTTTTAATGGGCCTGACAAAAAATGCTGGTATTTGTCAGTAACGACGCAAAAGGTCATTCCACTCTATTTTAAATTCACGTTGCACTCAAAATCAGCTTAAATTACACCCCTAGGTGTTTAACGCTGTCTTAACAGTAACACAATATATGCATTTATTTGTTTATGTATTTTTACATACATTATAAAAATGTCAACGAATAGTGTTTTGGCCTCTGGGGACATCAAAATGAAAAAGTAAATCGGGCCCAGATAGAAAAGGAGATAGATAGTCTAGGTCTTTCTGTGCTACCTACGATAGCTACTTTCCTATAGGGAAATGCACTATTAATACTATTTTTCTGGTTAGGGCAGTTTATTTTTTTAGTAAAGTAAAACTGAATTTTATATGAGCGTTGAGAAAAGGAGGAGAATAGGACACGAAAGACTGTAAAATCCCTGGATGTTTACAATGGGGATCAATTTAAGGCACACCGGTCATCAGTCTCAATCATAGACCCAAGTTTTCATATTTTTACCGTTTCGTAAATGTATACACAGTTTGCTACCAAAAATGTTGGAGGACGTATTTTATTACATCAGTGTGGTTTAATATACCGATGAATAAATTTCATTAAGTAGATTTTGACTGTACGAAATTTGGCCCAACTGTCGGGAACTGTCGTTGATCTACTCGTATAGGTTTATGATAAATACTCCTGGCTAAAGATACTGGTTATACAGTACAGTATACTGTATATGTCCAGAAATAAAATACGTACCCAGACGTATGCCTATGTCTTAAAAGTAACAAATAATCACACAAGTACTGTTGAATAAAAGTATTTATTTATAAGCTTTGAAACAGGAAATTTTTTTAATATTTACAGTAAATAAGTATTAACCTTCTACATATTTTAGCACACGAGTTGCTAAAGTATCTTATAGGCCTACCCAAGAAGAAGGAAATAGATAGATCCCATCATATTTCCTCAGATAGAACTAAATCAACTGGAAAGTTTGTTTTCCGTCCTCTAATATTCGGCGCACATAATGCTCGGATGATACGTCTGGGAGAGATTACGGCTAGGGAGGATGAAAAACGTGCCTCAGAAAGATTGGAAAACTTGTGGTCATTTGACGCCTTCACTTCTTCCTGGCTTAACAGTTTTGATATCATATGAAACTGACTCGGAAGAAATTGCTTATTGCTAGAAAGACCAAAGTTAACTCGAGTCAAAAGATTGCTTGACCTGCTGAAAAACTTATTTTGATACGTATTTTAACATGGGATTTAACTGTAGGGACATTAATGGGTAATGTTAAATGTTTAACGAGTAAATATGGATTAAGAATGTGTGTCAACATATACATTTTCTATGGGTATTCGTAAAATAAAATGGGAGATAAAATTTTTTTATAATTAAGCAAGATACTGTTTACAGCTTCGTTTAGATTTTTTGCAATAGTATCAAAATATAACATGTTTTATTACACTTTACAAGAATGTAATTTCCGATAAAAATTCAATAAACGTTATCAACTTATATTCTCTAGTTGTTATTGTATGGACATAATATTAAATGGATGAAGTATTTTAGTTATGTGAAACTTGGAAAATTATGTCACTTGTAGTCATAAGCAAATCTTAACGATGAATATGAATTAGAGATTCGATATTATTTTATTTGTGGGAGATGTTAACCACTGAAATTGGCTATTAAAATAATCCATCGGATTTCAACGATTTATTATGTTATTTAAAAGCCTCAGATAAACCCCTTGATTACAAAACATTACTGTTAACAATCTGGGTTTAATCATAATTGAAGCTTTTTCAAATAAGTGAATATTATATTTCAAATAGTTGTTTCAGACATCCTTCTAAGTTGTAAAGCATAACTATACATTACACATTGTATACATTGTATACATTCTATACATATATATATATATATATTCTATATATTCTATACATTGTAGCATATATCATTACTATACTTTTATTGTAAAACTATGGCTCATAAGATTACCTCCCTCTGATTTTCCTTAACAAAACTATTTCTGAAACGTTGTTTGCCATAAACTGTCCGTTAGTGTTTTTATGAGGGAAAAGAAAAATGAGCTCAAGCATTCAACTGCAAAATGAGTCATGAAGGAAGTGTCATAAACTTTTAGAAGAGAAGAAACTTTATGTTTTATTTTGATGCATTATCCCTGAGCCAAGCCATTTTATTCAGATGTGACTCGTAAATTGCAAAACCTTGTGTGTAAACTGAATATGTTGTGGTTTTATGGGCCCGTGTCTGAATATATTTCTCACATGGAATATAATTGTTCATAATGACCAGGTATTTTTACTTTATCAAAATAAATTATTTTCTAACATACCAACTCGCCAAATCGTGTACATTGAAAATAAAAAATGTATCTATTTCAACAAGTTTTATCGAAAATTACTGTTAAGGTTTTATCAATAAACGATCCCATACCAGAACATCCACAATATTTGATCAAATGTTTATAATTCATCATAAAAAATAAAGAATTGAGCAAGTAAAATGACAGTCGAAGAAAATCAATTTATATTTTAATAAACAAAGAACTTTTCTTTTACAATAGTTTAAACCCATTTTCAGCTGTTCCTTGCTGGATACCGTGATTTACGATTTCAACAGGTCGTAAGAAGATGATGAGAGAAGTTAGTTTTTCCTTTTAAACTTTATGACATTTCATTATTGGAGTTTTTATGTCTTTATTTACAGCCGTCCCCAAAGAATCATGTGTCTTCCGATCATAAAACAAAACTTTTGCTAATTCAGCTCTCGCTTTTATCTGTTATTATGACTACACTTCTTATGATGAAGGCCTATTCTTGTTTTCGGTGACGGCTGTAAAAGTTTTATAGTCTTGTGAAATGGCCAGATGAAAAGTGTATAATACTGATTTGGTGTAAACACTTTGGTATTTTACAATCTGTTCTTGTGCTAAACACATGTTGATTTGCCGCTGGAATGCCATGAAATGAAATTATAGATCATGTACGGAAATTGATAAAATATGTATACAATGATAAATAAGTACGGTACCGGTATTGTATACAGAGTGTCCCGGAACTCTCTGGCAATATTTTAGGGCATTGTTCATGAGTTCAAAAAACATATCTAGGCTAAATATCGTATTTCATTATTGACTCACATAGCCGCTATTTTTCTGTTTAACTTATTAACTCTTCTAAAAAGTGGTTAAAGATACTAAATTGAAACTTTACACAAACATTAATGATAACTATACAAAGCTACAAAAGGGTTATGAAAATTTTTCAAATTCATTAAACAAAATGGCGGGTGTTTAAATTGTTTTCTTAAATAACTCAAAAACCGTTGATTTTACAAAAATTATAAATGGCCGCTATTTTGTTTTAAGAATTTGAAAATGAGTCATAATTTTTTATAGCTTTGTCTAGTTGTCGTAATAATGTTTGTGCAAAGTTTCAATTTTGTATCTTTAACCAATAAAAAAAATATCATAAGTGAAAATACTGGCTGGGTCTTGAAAGTAGAGGTTCAAGGTTCAACAGTTCAACAAGGTGTTTGCTCAAAATTTTTTGATCTCTCAAGGGCCTTCGACACTGTATCTCACAGTGTTTTACTAGGCAAACTAAAGTCATTTGGTTTTTGTGATAATGCTGTGTCTTTGATTGAGTCATATCTGAGCAACAGATTCCAGGCTGTTTATTTCCAGGATTCACTGTCAGAACTTAAACACACTCCCCACGGAGTGCCACAAGGGTCCATTTTAGGCCCCCTACTCTTCATTATTTATGTTAACGACTTACCTTTTAATGTCCAAAGTAATGATGTTTCATGTTTTATGTATGCAGATGATGTGTGTTTGAATATCAAGTCTACTAAGTGTATGCAGGACAGTGTAATTTCTGAGTCTGTTAAAACAATGTCCGACTGGTGTAAGGCCAATAAGCTGTCTCTTAACGTAAACAAAACTCAAAATCTGGAAATGACCTATGGTAACTCTAAGAATTCTCAAACTCCAGTCAAATTCTTAGGTGTGATGATACAGAGCAACCTAAAATGGTTTTCCCATATTGATTTTATCGCTCCAAAACTCTCCAAAGGAATTTTTATTTTAAGAAATTTAAAATCAATTGTTTCTCCAGATGTATTGTTAACTGTGTATTTTAGTTATGTTCATTGTCATTTAGTATATAGTGCCATTCTCTGGGCTAATTGTAGCCATGCCAACATCTTGTTTGTTTTACAAAAAAGAGCCATTAGACTGTTAAGTAATGCTCCACCACGTAGTCATTGTAAGCCTATATTTAAGAAATTGTCTGTGATGCCCTTAACCTGTATTTATATTTTTCAATGTCTGTTATATGTTAAAAACAACTGTGATATTTTACTTTGTAATAAGGATGTGCACAAGTATGCCACAAGGAATTGTAATAATTTAAGAATAGATCAGTGCCTTTATGCCACCACTCAAGCTAGCTTCAAATATACCGCTACCAAATTGTACAACAAGTTACCAGTTAAAGTTAAAAAGTTACCATTAAATGTTTTTAAAGTAGCCATCAAGAGAATTCTTCTAAAAAACTGTTTTTATAAAATAGAAGATTATTTTGCCTCAACCTTAGATTAGTTTTAAGTTGTATTATATTGTTGACGCAGCCTATACACTATTGTACTTTTCACAATTTGTGTCTATGGAATAAAGATGATTTGATTTGATTTGATTTAGAGGTTTGAGACGTTGGGGGAAGTACTGAAGTACTGGCCGACGCACGACTTTTCGAATTGCAGATTGCAGTAATTCACCTACAAGCAATGTACAATTGGACTTACGGCAAAGTATATTCATCAGTTCAACGTGAAAGGCAATTTTCTGAACACCAAGATTATATCTATCATTCTATTTATTTCCAAAGATGTACAAAAGTTTGATCATTTGCAGAAGTTATGTGTCCAATAATTTTACATTTTTCAAACCAACAAATTAAGATGCAAGTTCACTTTTTTGTTAATTTTTTTAAGGTTATTTAAATCATAATCCCCAGTTAAGTAGAACTCGATTGCTTAACAAATTATTTTGATTAACAACTTAAAACTTGATGTTACAACTAACCGCATTTATAATGTATCAAGTTACAAGCTATGGCTGTATAAAACTAATCCTACAATTCGTTTGGAAGTCATTGCCGTTGAATAAAAGTAATGCGAGTAGTTCGGACTTGTTTTAAGCTTTATGACAGTTCTTAATCACAATTTTACTACTCATTTTATGTCTCGCTGCCAGAGACTTCATTTTTCCCCTGCTATAAAACAAAACTTGGGGACATTTACCACCAATGAACAAAGCTACAGCAGTAATGATTTCATATCTGGGACTAATTTACAGAACCATTCAACTTTTCAATTCATATTCAATTTTATCTTTGCTACAACCGTTTCTTAATGTGTTTCTCCAATATTTATAAGAGCAATTACAATAACATTAAAGTGGAGCTATGAGAAGTAGTCAGTAATATTAAATTAGAAAAAATGTATAACAGATGGATGAATAGTACGTGATAAAAATAAAAGTATCTATAATGTAAAAAGAATCATTGTTATTTATAATGATTAGCCTTTTCTGTGCACCTTTTTGATAGTATATTTTAATTAGATTTATTTTAAAATTTAGGAAAGTTTTCTGCAGAAAAAAGAAGCTATACGTACTATAAGGGTCATTTGCAGGACAAAGTGATTTTATTTTATATTCTGTAAAATTGCGGGTATTTAATGTTATAAAAATAACATATAATTTAATTTCCAAAATATGTTTAGTTTACATGTCATTGAGGACGAGATCTCATATGAAAATTATCATATAAAAACGAATGAAAATTATCAGTGAAGCTCAAATAATTATAAATCTGGTGGAAAGGAGCCCCAAAATATGGGGCTAGGACTACTTTTCAATATCTCTGTTTGTTTTAAGATACAAATACAACCCAGAAACTGCGTTCCGGGAATTTTTGGTTGTTTCAAAATAAAGACAGACCAGATTAGTCGGGTTGGTTTCGGAGGTTCACCGCTTTCCCACTGCATCTCCTTTAACATTGTTTTGCTCTCACTGTCCTTAAGTAAACAGCTTAATTAAACAGCTTCCGCAGAGTTTTGGTCTTCTTTAATTAAACACTTTAGTCAAATAGCACTATTTTTAGAACCAGTTGTGCTAAACATTGCTAAGTGCTGTAAAACACTGTAAATATTGGTGAATGTCGTCAATTATATGTCATTATTAAATAATGGTATTTAATTAATGACATTCACCAATATTTACAGATAATTTTACTTTACCAATTTTTTTGTAAAGTCAATTGAGATGAAATATTTTCAAATTTCATATATTTCATGTGTGTCCTGCCCCAAAATATTAACCCCTAATAAGAAAAATATATTTTACAGGAGACAGGCCCAGTGGACTGCAAGGTACCCGAGGTGTGGTCTCCCTTAGTCAAAGAGAGATATACACAGGAGACACCAGCAGATGGGATGTCAAAGTGACAGGCAGTGAGAGTGACACACTCTCTTTGGAGGTAAACCTATAAACTACAATGCTTAAACCTTTGAACAACAAAGTCAATAAGACTCAATAAGACAATAAGAATTTATAGTCTGATATACTTAGCACACAAATGTAACATATTAACCAAGGCTCCTACTTCCTACTAACTATACAAAAACTCAACAGGAAAGGCTGAAAGGCTATAAATGTTGCGAGTCCTGCAACCTATAGGAGTCAAATATAGTAATAGACCCTACTATGCTTGAGCTTTTGGTTGACTAGTGTAGTGAAGTACAAAATGATCAAAGTGCCAGCAGACGACTCTGTCACACAATACTGTACTGCGGGAAATCAGTGGTTATCTGGACTTAGATCATTGTGCACAAGTATTGTCTAAAATTTGATTTGTAATTGGTATTTTTTATCTCATTTGTTTGAAGCTTAAAAACAAATATTTTATCAATATTGTAATCACCTTTAAAATTGTAAGAAAAATTAAAAACTATAATATTTTTGTCAGTATTACTCTGTTTTTCCTTATTTTAAAAATTATTGTTTGTGGAGCTTAGATCATTTAGTAACAAAACAATACATAAACTTTACGAATAAATAATATTGGTCTCTCTATAAAATATACAAGACTTTTAAAATCTTTTCAAGTTTTAAACATTTTTTATGAATTGGATTTTATGTTGGCAACAAAGGTGTTTGAGTAATTTTTAAGTTATTAATTATGATTTTATTTCAATTTGCGAACGATGCACTAAAGATTTATTTTGTTAACATAAAAAGCAGTTTGTTGTTTGGAGGTGCTATGTTAACGATAAAGGCCGGATATTATATTGATTTATAATATCTGGATAATACTATACAAAAAGAACATTTAAAAAAAATGAATCCTTGAAATATATGAAGTCGAGTCAGGATTTATACATTAGTGTTCAAACAAAGCTATTTCCTTTGAAACGTAATTTAACAAACTTTGGAAAGTTTATACATCCAGTAAGTGTCTGTTTTCTTGCTTTATCTCAACTTTTCTTGGCTAGACAAAAGACAAATTCCAAAGTTGTTCCCATTCATTAACTAACAATGTTGCTTTTTATGAAGGCAAAATATGCTAAAACTATTTCAATGAAAATACCACCAAAATTAATCAGGTTCCAAAGTATGAAAATGAGAAATTCTTCTTGAACTATGAAAGGTCATGAAGCAATGAATTGTAGTTTGGTCCCTGCATTTTGACATCCTTATAATTTTTATCCTATGTGTTTAAATGAAAAAGTTACTTACCTTTATTGATAAAATCAATAATTTTTTTTTATTTTTTGACAGGCTAACAATTTTTTGTATCATTATGAGTCTATCATATAGTTTATGTATGTTTAATTACAACATTTCACAAACTAGATGGTAGTCCCTTGAAATAAAAATGTAACAAATAAATAGCTGCAAGTAGTAATATAATTAACCCGTCAATTGATCAATTGGATGGACGAGTTGTGTTTTGTTAATTAAGTGTTCAATTTGTATTTTAATCAGCAGTTGAAGTTCCAATCAACCTTCGGTGTCTGTTAATGAATGGCACTAGTACATTACTCTTGTACGATTGGTACAGTTGCAAAATAAAATCAAACTACTATTATTTTAATTTATCATCTTTTTCACTTTTTATTTAACTTCATTGTAGGTGTTAGCCTACGAATTGCCAAATAATATTAAAAAAGGTTCAAATACCTGCTATTAAGCAATCCAACTCCAACTGGTGTGTACTACTACAACAACGTTAGATTGCTTAACAGCGGGTATTTGAACCTCTTTTAATTTTATTTAACTGTAAAAGATCTTCTGTCATGTTTTAGTCCCGGATATATCATCTGACTCTTTATTAACACTGTAAATAAGTGTTTATTAGTTCATGATATAATATATTACCTAAAAGTAAATTATTGTGTAAAAATTTTCAAATCCTTTTTTTAAGCTTTTCGCAGATTTTTTTTTACTTTCACTATTTTCTCTTAAAATTTCCTCCCACACTTCTCCATGCTAACCCATTATTAATTAACGTTGACAGGTGCTCAGCCCAGTGAATGCTCCTGTAGGAGTCTGGACCTTGGAAGTACAAACATCAACTAATCATTCTCAGAGTGATGTATTCCTGGTTTATAAACATCCTGATAACATCTTCCTCCTCTTCAACCCTTGGAACAAAAGTAAGGAATATTTGTTAATACAAAAATTTGGTTAGCTGAGGGGTTATAGGGCTTGCCTGGTAACAGTGGTAACCAGGTCGCTAGTGCATTCCTGAGAAACGTCAGTAGCTTTTTGATGGTTCGAAATGGAACCCAGCTGTTCTTGATCATTGGACTTTTAATATTGGTCCTGGCTAATGAAACAGCTGATCTTAACCAGTAACGAAGCTAAGAGCATCTCACATCATTCTACACTCATCCTTCACTTATATTTGAGTTTATTTACTCCCAGTTGCGTCTCCGTTTCTATTGGTTATTAAATCTAATTTTGTTTACCTCTGCAAGTCCATAGTATTGACTGGTTAGCTGAGTAGTAGCTTGCCTCTAAATCGGATTCTGGTTTGAGACTGAGAAGTATTGACTCTGGACCCAGTTGCCGTGTTTGTAATTGTGCTAATAAGTATATAATACTTTCTAGTTTTGAGTTGGTCAGGTCATGGATAACAACAATGGTTTGTGTAGCTGTCCGACCACTAAAAACAAAGTACATCTTTACTCCGTGTAGCAAAAACTAAATGTTTTGTCACCAATACTAGCTATTGGGATCACTTTGTACCTAGTGCTTTGATGGTGAATACTTTCAACTAAAGAGCAACCCTAGCATTTCAACTTGTAATAAAAGAGTGAACGGCGATTCCTTTGTCTTTGAAAACCACAGAAGCTAAAAGTACCTTTATCCAGTGAAAACTCTTCATCAAAAGGTTTAATAAAGACCCTTTCAGTCACCAACTTTGGTAAAGGAAGCTTTACTGCGTTGCTGTGTTAAAAAAGTGGATTCTCTAGGTTATGGATGAAAGTAAATTTAAATTTCCATTTAGCAGTGTAGTAGTTACCATCTGGTCGATCAATTTTTTTTTGTTTTGTGTCTGTTTCTTGTCATGTTTTGTATTATTTCAAACTTCTGACCAACTCCATCTTGAGGAATTTGTAAATACTATTGACTTGCCAACGCTTTATTATCATAGTTACTTTACAGTTCTCCATGTGGTTTTTGTTTTAAGCTTTCCAACTTTTGCTGGTTTGTGTACTTACCTTTTTAGGTACTGTGGCCTATTTTGTTACATGGGGACAAAATCAGATTCTAGGTCCTGAAAAATAGTGAACACTTGTGGTTTTACTGATAGTGATGGAAAATATTTAGCCTAAAATAATCGCTCAAGTAACATAAGTGTACAGTGTGTAGAAGCCCCATTCACATCCTGGGTTATATTCTTGCAATAAACTGTATAGTTAAAGCATAGAAGTAAAATGTGATAAGGCTAAAACTATTGCATACTGATTCTAGTTATGTTTACTCTGTTCAGATGACGCAGTGTACATGCCAGAGACCCAGCTCTTGGATGAGTATGTGTTGAACGACGTAGGCAAAATCTGGGTTGGTCCGATGTCCACATCCAAGGGCAGGGAGTGGGTGTTCGGGCAGTTTGATGCGGTTGTGCTCCCAGCGGCCATGTTGGTACTGGAGCGGACAGGTCTGTCGGGTCTGGCTCTGGGTGACCCGGTCAGGCTGACCCGGGCCTTCTCTAAACTGGTGAGGAAGATAACTATATCACTACAATTAACTGACAATAATTGGTATATTGAAAAGCAAACCATTGAAGGAGGGATGTGTCAAAACTCAAAACCAAATCTCAAAACCATCAAAACTTTGGAAAAGTTTCGGTTTCGAGATTTGATAGACGAGTTTCAAGATTCAAAAGTTTCAAAATTGGAAATTTTGGCACTTTTTTTTAAATGCTGACATTTTTTTTTTCTTTATTATTGTTTGTAGCAACCCTGTTGTTTACACACAAGCTGGTAGCAATAGAGCAAACACATTCCATTAATACTAATGAAACAAATTTTTAATACTAATAAATTGTATTCTGAACTGAACTGCAAAAGGCATCTTAAATACTGGAACAGCTTACAATTCAGTTTCATTTCAATATTAAAAATTGTTTAAGTAAAAAGTAATATTCAGCTCTAAATGTTCTAATTAATGTTATATTCATGTTTATTTCAATGTCAAGAGTTTCATTTATTTTTTAATGTTAACTTTGTTGTTTATAAAAAAATATGTTATTTTGGGTTTGAGGTTTATCCGCCACATTTATGTTATTATGTCTGGATCAGAAGTCAACAATCAAATATCAAATATCTTTCAGTTTTGACCACATAATCATAATGAAAATGTTATCATTATAGTAGGCTACCTGTATTTGACAACTTGACTAGTTAACTAAAATGTTTACTTTCAGGTTTTGAGATTCGAGATTCGGGATTTGATTTTCTAAGTTTTGGTTTTGATTTCGAGATTAGAATTTTCTGGTTTTGACCATAGGTATATTATATGAGTCACATCCCTAGAAACTATATCAGACATCCTGACCAGCACTGGATTTGAAATCTCTCTCAAACCCAAACCTCCCTTGGTAAAAAATCCACTGTCATTGGGATTGATGTAATCTTTTTTGTATTGTGTGAAGTTCCTAGCTGCGTTTCCTGTGCCAGAGAAAGGACGCTTTCATTAACCTCTTCCTATTCTCACCAAAATCCTTGAAAACACTTTTGCTTTGAGCACTGTTACATTCTTAATCTCAAACTACTTCAGCGTCTACCATGTTTTATCCTATTTCATGCTATCAGATCAACAGCAATGATGAGGACCTTGGTGTGATATTCGGTCGCTGGGACGGGCAGTATGAGGATGGCACTTCCCCCTCTGCATGGACAGGCTCTGTTTCTATACTAGAGCAGTATCTCACAACTAGAAAGGAAGTCAAGTATGGCCAATGTTGGGTGTTTGCAGGGGTTTTGACCACTGGTGAGTCATTTTTTATGTTAAAATGTATTGGTTTAGTACGTTCTTTGTTTTACATTTATTTTTTACCATAAAGTATATTTCAAAATCAAGGGTCCTCCACCTACAAAATTCTAGCTCAATTATGCTTAATTTCTTAAAATAATAATGTCTAGAGCTTGTCCCGTGGTTGAAAACTCGACCAAAAGTATGTAGGCCTATTGTGCAAACTTCTCTATTTTTACCACATGCTGTAAATAAAACATGTGATTATAATTCATTCCATTTGTTTTGATTTTCTGTTTGAATTTCTTTCGTTATTATTTTTTTTCATTCATTTTTTGTGCTTTTTTTAGCCTATTTTAATTTATAACGGGATTCTGCACATCTACAGGCAAATAGGCCTACATTTCAAACAGTATGCATAGATTTTCCCTCCAATGCACACTAGCTGAGAAAAAGGTTTTAAAGAAACATGCTTGCCTATTCACATATAGATTGCATTTATAGCTATACTGTTGATTTCAGCAAGAAGATTTTCACATTTGCAACACTATTCTCTGAATTCTAATTGAATTAAAATTTCATTTAGTTCAAAATATAATATTATTTTATCAAACTATTTTGAAATAAAAATGCATGGTGTTTATAATTATGAAATTGTGAATAGAGTCTTGGTTATTAATCTTTAGGGTAGTTGGTATAAATATTGGTATTCATTTTGAGCGGATCAGAGCACCAAAACCCCATTTTCTGAATTCACTTTTCCTGGAAATACGTCAATATCATGTCAATCTAATATTTCAAACTTGTTGATGAAAAATACCCAAAAGTAATTGAATACCCAAACAAAATCATAAAACATTTCAAATTTGTATGTCCTAGTTTATTTTGAACCGCGGGTACAATGCAAAGTTTCAATAGACAGAATCAATAATGGAATGTACGTAATCCGATAGTCCCCATTCAACCCCACAACGCAATCTGCAGGTTGTTGTCTTTGGATAATGTATTGCCTTGACCTGAATGTTACAACAGATGGTATTACTACACTCAGATGATTTAGCTAAGCCATACAACCTAGGTGTCATATTTATAAAACAAACGGTATCAGAAATCTGACACATATTTTCCCCCATCAGCTTGTCAACAACGTGGATAAGCTGTGGAAGTAACTATGATATTTTATGGGGAGATCACAAAATTTGCAATAACTTTTGAACCATAACTTGTAAAACAATGGGGGTTGTACAGTTTTTTAGAGTTAAAAGGACTATAACATACTAAATTTGAATTAAATCGGTCAAGCCGGTTTTTCTAAATCCACTTTTTTTGTTATTTAATGGGTTTTTTTTTAAATCACATAAGTTGAAAAAAAACTGTTGAAACTTTTTAAGTACCTTAAACTGAAAAAACAACCACGTGTAAACTATAGCATGAGGTCATATAAAATATCATAGTTTCAAGATCTAAAATGGAATTTTGACTGTACAAAACTCTATGAGTTGCTCATTCAACAAATTTTTTATTGTAATTAAAAAATTCTACTGGTCGATATATGCAGGATGTTCACAATGGTTTGGTATCTGAAATTCGATGGTTGTATACAAAACTTGTTACAACACTTGATCTGTGTGCCCCACAGTCTGTAGAGCGCTGGGTATCCCGTCCAGGGTAGTCAGTAACCTTGTGTCGGCTCATGACGCCAACGACTCTCTAACCATCGACCGATACTACTCTCCTGACAATGAGGAGATACCGTTCGATCCTCGCAATCCTATGGTAAGACGAGTTAATATTCAATATCCTATCCACCAGCCTTTTTGTCATGTACCTATTATTTTATATGTGTAATAGCTAAGACTTCATACATGACACTAATGACTAATAAGTAGGATTCTGAAAATTGTCTGAGTAGCTAAGAGGTCATTCCATAAAATATTAATGTCGCTGGTTTGAGTCCAAGGGAACTATATATTGGATTTGGATGCCATTCGACAATGTGCTATCAATAAATGATGGTATCGAAGAAAAAGTTAATATAACACAACAACACATAGCAAGGCCAGGTTTTAGAACGCTTTCCTTATACTATTTTTTGTTAATGCCAATGGCACACAGTAGTATGGGCTAGGCATAGACAAGAAAAAACAGGGATAACGTACTCATGGCAGCGGGTTCAGCTGTGTTGTAATTTTGTAGCAGTTACGCTCAATAAACCACTACAAACTGATCAAATTCACAGAAAAAAATAACACACACTTCTGACAAAGACAGTTTTTTGGTGTGCGAAAGGACGCTTAGTGCAGAGTGGAAATCCCATGAACCGTAACTGTGTATACACCTGAAAGTATTCTATGAATACTCCTTTTCTCTAGTAAAATTAAAGCTAAATTTTGTTTTGTGGAAAATAGCTACATTTAACCACTCCTTGCAAACATTTTCATGATCAAACCACAGCATTTTTCTTTGTGCCAAATTTGCAGAAAAACAATGAAAATGGATTAACTTTTAATTATAATAGGGTACTTACGTATTATACGGAGGCCACCCTTACACAACGCGCTGCGGCGGTTAGGTTTGGTCATCATGAAGCTTTTATGACTTGTCTGGTTCGATTCATAACGAAAGTAGGAAAGTCCTACAAACATATTTATAATAGACCAACCTAACCTAACCGCCGCAGCGCGCTGTAAAATAAGTGGCCTCCGTATAATACGTAAGTAGGTACCTATAATAGTGTGTAATCTGTGGCTGAACAGATAAAGGGTCCACAAGGGACAAGGGAACTAATCTTCTAGGAAGGTAGCGCCAATGTATCAATAGTACCAGACTAATCAAACCTACTCATCTCAACAAACCAACCAAATCTATTGATTGTTGCATTGTAATCAGTCTTGTGCTTTTTGTAACAAAAACTAACACTATCATTCTTTTACAAAATGTATCTTTTAAAACTAAAAATTATGTAATTAACAAAACTAAAACCAAGGATCATAACTTTTATAAGTTCTAACCTTTGAATCACAAAGCAACGCTTAGTTTTGAAATATATACTTTGCTTAACGTAGCGTAGCCCAGATGTTGTGTTAAAACTGGTAAAAGTAATAAACTGTTGCATGATAGCAACACCAAGATGATAGAGAGCAAGAAATTACAACATTTTATTTTGAATATTGTGAAACCATCTTAATAAAGTAAGCGCTAATCTAATGTTAATCTATTCTTTGACAAATTTGCACCAACTCTAGGAATAACTGCTCAAGGCTATTTGGTACAGAAACTATTAGTCTTGGTTTGCGCTATGGTGCGGGGTGTAGGAGAAGTCTTTATTGGTCATGGTCATTTCCAAAAACATCTCCACACGGCTCAAGGGTGGTTCAGCTGTCTTCACGGCCAGGCGAGGTGGGGGGGGACCACTGGCATTTCACAGGACGGCTAGTAATGACGGAACCGCGCGCCCAGATTGCTCTTACAGTGCTGAGGTAGTCATCCCATCCAAACAAACCAGCTGTCTCAAATTTGTATACAAAAAAACTAAGTTGTGTGAACCAGTCAAAGAATCTGCTAGTGTCTACTTTAGTATGTATTTAAAGAAGCCACTGCTATCACAATAACAATCCTAAAAAACCGAGGTCTTAGTGCCTCATGAAGCATTGGCAATCTTTTCAATTCATCAAATATTTTTGTTCTGTATAGGGAGAAGACTCCATCTGGAACTACCATGTATGGAGTGATGTTTAGATGTCCAGACCAGATCTTCCTTCTGGTTACGGTGGATGGCAAGCAGTGGACGCTACACCCCAAGAGACTAGTGATGGTAGAGTACTTCTTACGCTCTTACAACTAGAATAAACTTTGCAAAAATAATTTTCACAATTGACAAGATAAGAACTGAACTACAGTTAAACATAATGGTAGCACGACATATTGCATGATTGGTAGGAATTTAGGAATACAATTGTGTTATTTGAGCAAACGACCCCACAAGATATTTCTAAATTAAAAACCTAATTAAAATGAAAACTTACAGGTTTCTACCAGTGTGGACCTGCCTCAGTGGAGGCTGTTCGTAAGGGAGAGGTAGGTCTCAAGTACGACGTAGGCTTCATGGTGTCATCTGTGAACGCAGACCTCGTCCGATGGAAGGAGGACCCCAACGCTGAAGACGGCTTTTCTAAAATTGACTGCAACAAATACCAGTAATATAATTTTACCTTAAATAAGAATTGTTTTTTTAAGAGATTGACAGCCTTTTTGCATTTGCCCGTTTACATGGGCCTCAGAGACCTGTGCGTAGAATTTATCCAGTAAAGCAAGGGGTGAGACGGTACAGTATAATGGTGAACTGTACTGATAAAAAGTAGTGTTATGTACCAGGATCCGAAACTACGACAGCACTGCCATGGACTTGAATTCTGTGGCGCTACTGACTGAGCTACCGACTCACCTAATAGTATTTATCCAAATTAATAAAAGTTTGTACCTCAGAATTTCATTAAGTCATCATCAGGCTAATACTGGATGTAAAAGATACACAATTTTAAGGTCAAAGCGCCAAACACACATAAACATAACAGACGTAATAAATAGAATGTTCCTTTAGTTGTCTGTAACGATAAGAAATCTAGTAGTACCAGAACGCTATCTACACAATAGGCTAATGAATTCTTGAATTAAAAAACTAGTTGTCTTTTTGTTACCCTTGACTGAGATATGTAAATCAGGCAGTCACAACTATTACTGATGTTTTATCTACTATTTATTTAGGTCATCTTATTACAAATTCATTGCAACATATTTTCAAATATTCTACAATTGAGTTTTACCTTGTGTTTAATAATAATTAAAATTAAGGTATTTCATTGATTTTACAAAATTCAGTAAGCATATTTTGTTTAAACAGTATTTCTATTCATAACTTGTCCATGGCAGTTATTAATTATCTACTTTGATAATTCTGAAACATCTTGCACTACTGTTGAATATTACAAATTTGAGAATCGTATATTTTTCTAAACACTTTCTATGTTAAAATTTTAGTATTGGAAGAATGCTGCTCACCAAACATCCATTTGTATTTGACCCCAACGGAGACACTGATAAAGAAGATATAACAGAGCAGTACAAGCCATCAGAAGGTACGACAACTTATTTTAATTGAGCATGAACTTTTATAAATGTCAGATATTACAAATATAATTCCTCTCAAAACAGTAGGGTTACAAATCTCAAAGGAGTCTCTTAAAAAGACAAAAGTTTTAAATTAAACCAGAAGCAACATTGTACATCACTCTGCAACTTGACCTATAGCAAAGATTTTGCAGAGTGATGACCGTAGAACTACGTAGGGCCATGAGAAGAATCGGTAATACTTTTTTGGCAACCTCTCCATTGGATATCAGCTCTATGAGAAAATATTGCTCCCATCGATTTAGGGAACCAAAAACCTCTTTAAAGAGTATCCTAAGATTTTTTCCCAGCCCCACAGCTTCCTCTCTCCAACTATTTACCCTTTGAGGTTGAAAGATAGAGATTCTGTAAACCACCTCTGAAAATACCCAGCTGGAAGTAGCCAACTTTTTTCCTTGGGATGATTGATTTTGTCATTAGATTCTTTTTGAGGTCAACACCTCTACTGCTGAAGTAGGTAATAAACCTTCTTCGAAAGCAGTTTGCTTCACTTAAACGCTTTCACACAAGAGATTCTTTGGGACTAGTTATTTGTGCAACTAGTGAGAAAAGTGAGCAATTGACTCGCTCGAGAGAAATCCTTACTCACGAGCCGCAGGCGAGTGAGGAATGGTTTCTCGAGTAAGGCAATTGTACTTTGAACTCGAGTTGCACATTATACTTTTCCTACAGTTACCATAAAACAAATAAATTGGTGAAGAAACATAACCTATTTTTACACAGAAGTGAACTTTTAATATAACATTTAATGTGAAGTGACAAATACAACAGTTCAACAGCTGACCAGCTGATTTACAGCCAGTGCTGCCAACGTACTTCGCGCGCATACGACGTTGCCTGCATGTTACGCGCTCACTATTTCGTGCCTTCACGTTGCAAATCTGGAGTGAGACAAAGTAATTAGAGTGAGACAATGTTAACATTGTCTCACTGATGAGCGAATTGGCCACTTTGCTTTCTCAAATCAGTGAGAGAACATGTACATTGTTAGGTAACTGTAGGAAAAAGATATTTTTGTATGTGCCATGATTCAGTGAAATATCCTGTGCCATCTATTTTCTGAGTATCTGTTTTACAGGCAGTAAAGATGAAAGAGCTGCCTTCTACCTGGCAGCACAAGGGACTCATCGAGCCAAGAGGTTTCTTGATGTGCCTGACGCAGCGTCTTCTCCTGTGTCCTTTGAGCTGCAGGAACTTGACAAGATCAATATTGGAGAGAACTTCGTCATTGCTGTTAATATCAAGGTAAGGAGAGTTTAAATTGATTTTGACAATAATATTCATCTTTTAATGGGTTTCAAAAACTTAAGCTTATACAATTTAGCTTCATAGGTATGTTTTAAGATCTCTGTTCTCACTAGACGCTGTTTAAAATTTATTTATTCCGGAAATATTGCCGAAAAAAAAGTTTTACAGTTTTTTCATTAACAAGACCTTCACCCTCTCAGCTTTCTATTTATGTGAGCTCAACAAAAATATCCTCAACTGTACCATGTGCTACTACATTAAATGCAAGCAAAGGACTTCTAGCTTCTATCCTAGATGATTGGGTTTGCCTGTATATTGTTAGTAACAGTAGACGTTGATCAATCTCCAAGCAATTTTATTTAAGGCTTTGTCTCCCAGGCACGCTATGGGTGTATCTAAGTTAGGTTTGTTCGGAGAAACTCGTGTGGATCTCACCTGTCCGTGGTAAAACTACCTGACACGTGCTGCACTGGGAGTCAAGTTTGAAAACAATGATGCTTGGGATTTTGGTTGTTAATTGTGTGTTGTTAGTAAGTTGAAGGTAGTTGTAGTGATGTATAATCTAACGTTTGTTTCGTAAGTAGTAAAATCAATGTATGAGAAGTCTAAGGCATTGTCACCCTTGGCAAGATACAGCAAGTTTGATTGAGGGTCTGATGTTCAGTCAGGTCTGGTATGAAAAATAATCAGTTAGTTAACAACAAGAGCTTGGCGAGAAAGAGTTAGTAAACTTTGGAAGGGATCTTTGTGATTTGCATCCAAAGTAATTTTTCTATCCTCTATCTGTCTTTGCAATGAGTTCAAAAGATGAGGCATAATGTAATCAATAAATAAACCCTGGAGCTCAAAGGATTGAATGGGAACTATAACTGAAACCTAATTTTGTATTCATCGTCGCATACAACATCGTCATGTTTGTTATTCTGATTAGAAGGTAATAAAGGGTTTCATTGATTGTCAAAACATTGTAGTTATGTTAATAGCTGAGTGCGGACTGTGATATTCAAAGCTATATTGTCCTTAGAATGACAGCGATGAGGTAAGAACAATCCAAGCATCACTGTCTGCCAACTCCATGTACTACAACGGAGTCAAAGCCAACTTGATCAAGAAGGCATCAGGGGTGTTCACTATGCAGCCAAAATCTAGTAAGAATGTTAAAGCATCTGTACAGTTATGATGAATTTTTGTTTGTTTTTAAAATGAATTCAATTACCTTCAGATTAATTTTTAAACTTATTATTTTCAACCATTGCAAAATTAGAGCAGTAGTTAAAAATATCCATGGCAAACAACTCGCATCAAAATAGACATCATGCCAAAATTTGTAAAATGGCCCTAAAATGCAGTAGCAGTGATGTAAGTGCAAGTTTGATTATTTACATTTAACTCTCACATAACTTTTAATCTAGGTGAGTTCTTGCGACTTACGGTCAAAGCTGACGAGTATTTGGACAAACTGGTAGAGTACTGCATCATCAAGTTCTACACAATAGCTACGGTGATGGAGACTAAACAGACATGGGCTGGCGAGGATGACTTCCAAGTCATCAAACCTTCCTTGCAGATCATTGTAAGTTTAAATACTTCAGAGATGATCGGTTTTGTTAGGTTCAACCTGAAACTACTTTTATTTTGTTATCCAAAACACCAGAACTTGAATAGATTTGATTAAATTTTTTATTGTTTCCTGTGTTCTTGATAAAGACGTGTGTCACCCTTTGCATTTCGCCAGCTTGTGTGTCATCTTCAGGGTGTTTTCTTAAGTTATCATCACTAACACTATAGACTAAATATTTATAAAAATATTTGACAGCGTGAGTGGCCACGAACAATGGTGACACACAAAATCTTACTCCAGAAAACAGGCAACAAAAATGATAATCTAATTTTACTTTTAATTATTTCAGTTAAACTTAATAGTACAGTAAAAATATTTTTTGACCCCAAAAAAATTAGCACAACCGGGGAATTTGGTACAGATGTTGGGTGTACCTTCCTTTTGAACATACTAAAAGTCCCCTAAAATTGAAGCTGTGCTACGGCCGCCATATTGGAAAATGGCGGCATATTTCTGTATTTTTCGCTATAGTGACTTTATTATTAGAGATACAGGAAAAAGCTAAATGTACAAAATGTAGGTCATCTAAAAATACACATTTTTTGTATTTACCATCTTTCTCTAAACCTAACGGTTTTTGAGTTATTTGTTATTAAGTATATTTAGTTTTTTCTATTTATCAAAAATAGGTGAAACACATGGAAATTGACCGTTACTTTCAAGGATTATGATAATTTATCCTATTTAGTTAAATAGTGTGATACTATAAAATCTAAAAATTTAAGCTTATTTTATGAATAAAAAAACTCCGCCACAGCAAACCTGCAGACTCAGCAAATTTCCATTTGATTAGATGTTTTATTAAAAAATGTATATAAATAAAATTAGGTTCAATAGGTACCTAGGTTTGCTGCTACAGGTAGGTTATTATAGTGTGTTTTTTTAAGTAAAATATCAATACCTTACTATAAAATAACTAATTTTCCAAGTTTGGTCAAAATATATCTATAAACAAGTAAACTGCAACAGTTAACTAATTCATAAGAATAGCATGGGAGTTTTAAATTTACAATAAACAAATATTTGAGTATACAAATTTTGGTCGTGTTTACTAAAAAGATGGCGAATGCTCACGATTAGAATATTAACCAAATGGGTTTTCAAAAGGAGATGGAGCCTGTTATTTAAGTAATATTAATTCGCACCGAAAATATTGTATGCAGTAAGGTGATCTACCATATTTTGTAAAGTACGCAATAGTCATATTAATATTTTATCTTCATTTTTTACCCATTTAATAGTTAACATTTTAGTATTTTGATGGCACCACCACACTAACTAACTATACTTGACATCCCATTGTAAATTTGGAAGGGTGTTTTTCGTGTCTAGTTCATGTTGGTGACTAATTAAGTATTGTATAGTTAGTTTTATTTATCAAAAATCGGTGAAACCCATCGCAATCGACGGTTACTTTCAAGGTTTACGACAATTATTCATCCCACTTAGTTGATATCAGAGTGATAGTGGTAGTGCCATCAAAATATTAAAATGTTTATTTATTAAATGGGTAAAAATGAGTATAAAATATTATTGCGTAGTTTACAAAATATGGTTGATTTCCTCACCGCATACAATATTTCCGATACTTGGTACGAGTTAATATTACTATAGATAAAACATACTGCTTAGTCTATGATATTACAGTACTTAAATTACTTGCTTCTTCTCCTTTAGAAAACCCCTTCGGTTAGTATTCAAAACGTGATGAATAATCGCCATATTTTTAGTAAACACAACCAAAATTTGTATATTTAAATTTGTAAATTGTAAATCTTAAGCTACCATGCTATTATTATGAATTAGTTAACTGTTTCAGTTTGTTTGTTTATAGATTTATTATTTTATGCTAAGTTATTGATATTTTACTAAAAAAAAAAAACACACACTATAATAACCTACCTGTAGCAGCAAACCTAGGTACCTGTTGAATCTAATTTTATTTAAATACAATTAATAAAACATCCAATCTAATGGAAATTTGCTGAGTCTGCAGGTTTGCTGTGGCAGAGTTGTTTTACTCTAAAATAAGCTAAAATTTTAAGATTTTATAGTATCACACTATTTAACTAAATGGGATAAATTATCATAATCCTTGAAAGTAACTGTCAATTTCCATGTGTTTCACCTATTTTTGATAAATAGAAAAAAACTAAATATACTTAATAACAAATAACTCAAAAACCGTTGGGTTTAGAGAAAGATGGTAAATACAAGAAATGTGTATTTTTAGATGACCTACATTTTGTACATTTAGCTTTTACCTGTATCTTCTAATAATAAAGTCACTATAGCGAAAAATACAGAAATATGCCGCCAATTTTCCAATATGGCGGCCGTAGCACAGCTTCAATTTTAGAGGACTTTTAGTATGTTCAAAAGGAAGGTACACCCAACATCTGTACCAAATTCCCCGGTTGTGCTAATTTTTTTTAGGTTTATGGAATTTTTATCTTATTTTTACTGCACTATAACTGTTAACTGAGTAAACATGTAGGTTAGGTGATCAACAATCTGTTGCAACAAGATAACATTAATTTACTTTTTCCAGGTGAATCCCGAACTTTCAATGGGACTTCCTGCCAGAATTGTCTATCAGTTCAAGAATCCTCTGAAGAGAAAGCTGACCAACTGCAAGTTCTCCTACGAAGGACCAGGATTGTGCAAAGCTCAAAAAGTTCCCTACAGGTAATTTGGGAGAGAAGTATAGTGTTGGGGAAATAGCTAATGAGTTAGACTCCGTTCAAAAAATTTAGGCGGTTTTAGGGGAAGAAATCTATCTTCTCCGCTTGAACCTGCCTTTAAAATAGTAGCTAAACAGCTGAGGTTTGCCAAAACATAAATCAGCTGTGTCATATATATATTAAGCAAAAAAGTAGTGGAGGAACTTCTCCTCAAAGCACCTAAATTTTGTGAACGGAGTATATGTTGGTACAGTATGTTAAAGTCAAAGACTAGGAATTGAAATGTTCCTTTTAAAAAAATACATTAAAAGTCCTATGGACCTAGGAAGGAACACAATTAAGAAGATACTAATTTACAAAACTTCCTAACCTAACCTGACAGGGCAGAGGGGTTTTTCCCTCCTTTCTGAATTCTTGTTCAGGTGCTGGCCTAACATGCTCAAAGCAATTAAGTATAGTAAAATTTCATTCTCATTCTGTACAAAAACTATTCAATTGGGCCTATTTTTGTTTCCCTCGTATCGTATGTGATAGTTTTGTTTACATAATTTGATAAGAGTAACTATTACCTCTCGTCTGATTTTTGCAGGGATATTGGAGCCGAGGCAGAAGCTAGGTTGGAGATTGTTTTCACTCCAATTTTTCCTGGACCCCATAAACTTGTGGCTACTTTCGACTCCACGGAGCTCAAAGACATCACTGGCTCCGTCCACGTGGACGTCCTCGAGGAGTGATATCCATGCAGAGCAAAAAAATTTATCAATGTTTGTTATTTTCAAGTTTAGAACTATTTACCTCATACAAATAGGAAAAATTTTTATAGTTTGTCAAACTAATGTTGAAATGTGGTTCTTGATATCAAAATAAGGGCGTTTGTGAGCCCTATAGGAGATTTAAGAGTGTTTTATACAATATTTTGCCTCGATGTTTTTTTCTTGACATTTGTGCTTGATGTGAGTAATCATTGATTACCTGTTGTAGTGTGTGATTTAAATTGGAATAAAGTTTATATTTTGTGTGTGTTTGTTTGATAACGTTTGATGCGTAAAAAAAAGTAAATATATGTTGTTGAAAAATTGTCTTTCATTAAATATCCCAAACATTAGCCTGACTTCATAACATTTTAGAAATACAGTAAATCCTAAAATTCAGCCAAGCACTTACCTATTGCAGAGTTTTGACAGATCGTATTTCAATTTTCCAACTGAAAAAACAACCTTCAGACATTATTATAATCCTCTTAAAACACTCTCCTACAAACCTTTTCTAACCTCAATTTATTTTTTCCACCTGTATCATTATAGTTTTTATTAAAAAAATAGTACTAACTAAATTTCATGAACCGGCTTCAAAACCATTGGGTCTCACGTTGTGTAGAAGTAAAAGGCCTGGCCTAGGTAATGTATTAATTGAGATGGGGACGCTACCTAGATGCGTATTTCAAACCCAAAAATGAGGGATGACGGAAGAAGTGTGAGGATCTGTGTGGCTTTGTAGTAACTTTGTGTAGCTTGCTGACTACAATCAGCTGTTTCATTAGATAAGATCATTCTTTAAAAGTCCAATGACAGCTGGGTAAAGTTACGAGCTATAAAAAAACTACTGACTTTTCTCAGCACAGCAACTGATTTTAGACAAAAGTTTTTTTTCCAACCGTCTAAGTTGCAATGGTAAACCACAGGAGTGAACGGAACATGCCACATCAACCACTCATCAACACCGGTGAAATGCTGTTGAGCAGCCGGCCTAGATATTGGCTGATTTTTTACCGACCATACAAAATTGGTATGTGAATATCTTTCAACAGTTAAAACTTGAATGCCAGTTAGTGGAACTAACCCAGTACATGTATTTTGTTCTGAATTAGAAAAGGCATATTTAGTAGCAAAGCTTTAATTAGATACTAATTAAATATGTACAGGGTAAACAGTCATCGACGATTCATAATAAATTCATTTATTAACATAGTTCATTATTAACAGATATTTACAAAATAAATAAATTTGAAGCGTTTCTTGAATGTTTATAACAATTTAGTTGAAGAATTTTCACCGTGGTGGAGTAAACTTTAGTTAGTTTATCAAAGGAGTAATTGGAGATAACTTTTATGTTGGCACTGGCTGTTAAGTACGGTATTTGAATCTAAAAAATAGTTTTAGTATACGAACTATTGTATTACATCCTACATAATAAAATGTAGTTCTCTGTAAAATATTTCAAATAAAGTTACAAGGATTAACATATTTTAAAGTGTTTAGGATTTAAACTTAAAAGCATTTAGGATTAAAATTGTACAGTGAATGTACTCAACAGGAACCCAAACTGCACTTCCAACACAAAATTTCTGTAATTTTTTGTAAGATATTGATTATTAACTATAGGCTAATTGAATTCAGTGAAAAATTATTAACCTAACTAACATAAAACAGCCAAATGTTTACAAATTAGATGTATTCACTTAAATTGTACTGCTAAATCACATTGTTGTATCAATCTGTAAGTTTTACAGTCAAATATCGTTCAACGTTCCATAATCCACGTGTGACAAACACCGAACATGTGAACCTTTAATGAGGTGTTAAAAATAAACTCTAGGTTGGCAGTTTCGGTGTCAGTCATTATACCAATCAAGGAACAGCAGTGTCAATGACATCACTAATAAGAAGAAGATAACGTAGAACCGAAGACTTGCGTTACTTTGTATTGCTTGTCGTATTTGCGTGTTGGCGTCCCTGAGATTCTCCGTTGTGCCGACGACAGTGCCGAATATCCTTTCTATGTCCTTATCTTGCTCAAGAACCTTCTCTGCAAATACTTCCTGAAGCTCAGCGATTTTCACGACTTTAGTTTCTATTTGTCTAACCTAGAACAAATAGATACATATTCAATCAGGACTAAAGGATGAGTGTAGAATGGAGTGAGGTGCTTTGTGCAGGGTTTTCAAACTGAACAGCTGTTTCTTTACCAAAGACTATTTGCATCGCCTCCTTTAATACAAGCCACGGTGAGACAAATGTGGCAACGCTGCAGTCCTGGCCTACTGAAAGAGCTGTAGCACCAATTTACATGGACAGCGTTGGATGATACAAAATTGTTGGGCACGGCATTGCATTAGAGAAAGCTAGGCTGATTGTCAGAAGCCAAATAAACGTAAACCAGGGTAGATATGTAAAATTTCAACTTTTAAAAGCTAGGTACTTGTAAAGATTCTTATCTTGAACTGGAAAACTATGACGATTAATAGGTTTTCACAATATCTCACTCAGCTACCCAGCCATCGATCACTCAGAGGTCATCCACAATCACACAACACCAAACGACTAAGCATATGATAGTTCTTGACTTAGCATCTCTGTTACATGTAGACTACAGCATAGGCAATGCCTAGGTATTTATTTTAGCAGTTTATTTGTTAATGTCAAAGAAATGTGTTGGTTTGAGTTTTGTTCAGAGCCAATATTATCTGTAGGCCTAAGTAAGGTTTGGAGGGTTTGTTCTGGAATTTCCCATATAAGAAGTAAGCCATTAGCTATGTAAGACCTGGACCCTGGACGATTTACTTTTTCAGTCTTGATGTCCCCAGAAGCAAAAAATACTATTTTGTACAAATTTAAATATGAAGTCTATAAACTTGATATGCTAACTCAAGTAATTTTAATCTGATTTTATTAAAATTTGGCATGAATGTGTAGGGCTGCATAAACTTGATTAAGTTCACCAACCAGCATGATCGGGTAATGGAAAAAAGGTATTAAGCGGGGTTTACATGAAACGTTCCCTACAGCCTGCTCTCGTTTCTGGTCCCAACCACCCTCGACTCATTCTCCCACCTGGTTGAAAGAGCATTGTATTTGACCTATACTCTGCACCCGATCTGATCTCTGAGTGTTGCTTTACTTTGTTGAAGAGCCATTGATAAATAAAAAATTTGTTTTTTGAAAGTTTTTAAAGTGTACCTAATGTAATGGCTCCCCATTTATTGAAGGGACAAGTTATTGGAGTAGTATTAACTGCATTGGCAGCGTGCAAAAAAAAATAAGGAAAAAGAGGATGTGGTGGGTATACCTCCAAAGACCTGTATTGACTCATGAAAGACTTATGGACGTATTGAATGCTTAAGACCTCCGGAATTTCTCGCGTACATGAAACATGCGATTTTCACCGATTTACTAAATTTGGTGACCAGGTGACCTCATACCAAAAGATAGTAGGCTACAGTAATGCTTAGGCGTTAAGCAGTAAAGAATTTTGTATCCTAAAAACTTATCAACATCATTATAAACTTCAATAAATCAAAATCATCAGGCTATGAAATATAGCCTACATGCAATAACCGACTAATTACATATCCTACTGAAAAGATTGATTTACAGAATAAGCAACTTACATCACTAGTAAGGCTGTTCAGATCGTTATACAGTTCTTCATTCTCTCTTTCAAACATCTGCATCTCCTCAGGTGACAGTTCGTCCTCTTGCGTAAGAGAACTGACCACTGGAGGCTCCACTGTCAAACTCGAAGGCCTAACATTAGTGTCCTTCACAACAATGTCCTCACCAGTTGTAGTTAGCTCACTCTTTGATGGACTTTGAACACTGTTAATGAGACTGTTATTGATTACGTCTGACTCTAACCTTGCCATTTTTTGCGCTTCCATATTTCTCTTCACTCTAACACTTTTTTGGTCGTAATATATCTTGCTAACAGTTTTGAGATACGCTTCCAACAAGTCGACAATCGCATTCTGATGATCGACAAGCTGCAAAGGCCCATCATGCAAAGTTGGATCTCGCTTCATTTCTAAAATGGCATTGGAACATGTTTTTACAATACGCTGAGCACCTGTGTCGATTATATCTCGCTCCGAATCACTCATTTTAGGAATCGTCGAGAGGTGATTGGAGAAGTTCAAGTACGCTTTCCTATGTTCCAAGAGGAAATCTCTCAACCTGGTTATCTGACTGAGCACATCCTTTGCTTTCACGGTAAACTCACTGTTTTTTATCTTAGTCGTGAGAATTCTATTCTTGTCCAACTCCGGTAGAATCAGACCAAGAGCCTTGTTGCGGGTGTGTACTGTCTTTACACAGGCTTTAAACAAAGCTGTTATCTCCATTGTGTCACTGAAAAATTAAAAATGCATTACTATTGTAACTAATTAAGGTAAAAAGATAAATAAAGAAATCCTTAGCATAGCCTCTTCTAAAACCAGGTGTGCTGTTGGTGTTTGGCAACATAGCACCAGCCTGCCTATAGCCATGGTAATAACAAACGTGTTTAAACATAAACATTGCTCAAAAGCTCCATTATGAAATAAATTGCGACCGATGTTTCTGTAGACTGGCATTGCACGGTTGTCACTTTTGTCTCGCTGCAGCCTTGCATTATAAATGGCCATTTTGGTACGGTATATGTAGTCTATCACATGTCATATTCAGTGAGCCTATAATAGCCTACATGATTCCTAATACAAAACCGTGTAGTTTAAAGGCAACTCGAGTGAAATCTTGTGCCGGTCTCATGGTTTGTTGGGTAATGGTAATCATGTTAGATCAGGTTAGGAAATAATATTAGGTATACCGCCCACCACCTGGCTATCTTTTCTTGCAGCAGTGACCCCTAGAGACCAGCATATCTACCGGCGACAGGGGAGGGAGTAATGAAGTGTTCAGTCAGTTAAAAACTTTTTTAAAGAATTTTAAAAAGTTTTACATAAGGCCCTCGTGAATAGGCCACTATATTCTCTGGGGGAGCTGAATGAGGTACCACTCTTCCCTTCACAATAAAAACGTCCGCCATACCACCAGTTGTAAATATTAGTTTTATTATAGTAACTTATTTAAAGAAATAAATCAAGTCTTTACATTTTTAAAGACATGACACGATCTATCTGACATTGTCAATCAAGGATTAAGAATACAAGTATTCAAGTAAGTAAGTAAGTAAGTAAGTAAGTAAGTTCAGAGGTAGCCATTGTTAGCCTATTGTTTGTTATTTACATCTTTTCGACATATGTAGTACTGAAATGTTAACATTTTGCTGTTCGCACAAAAGAATACTTATATACAGTGGTTATAACCCCTCCTCAGATGCACTTTACTTTAGGTACTACACTCATTCGAATGAAAATATCGATTATTTGATTGCTTCATTCGATATACCGGTATCGTTTGGTTAGTTAGGTTAGGTTAATCTAATACCTTACCAACCAAACGATATATCGAATGAAACAATCGATATATCGATCGATATTTTCATTCGAATGAGTGTAGGACCTTAAGTAAAGTGCAGCCCCCTCCTCCCTTCCAAATCCAACACGATATTAAATATCAAACTAATATTTCATCGATATATCTCTGCGGTTCTCTGTGGAACTGTACTTAGGCCTAACTAAGTTAAGTTAAAAACTTAATGTGATTATTTGAAAGACAAGATATAAAAAGCAATAAAATAATGGCAATAGCCTGTCATAAACTAGGCCTAGGCCTATATCAATGATTGCTTGTCCAGATTGTTTTGATTCTCTAAGGTTTGTCCAAAAAGTAAGTAGACCTAGCCTAGGCCTAGTTAAGAATCATCAGTAATTTAATTCCCTTTGTGGTTTTCATGAAACTAATATTGACTATAGCCTTAAATGTGGTTTGGCTAAAAAGTCCCTCATCATATGTAAATTTAGTACCGTAAGTTAGGCCAATTATTTAATGTGCAAGTTAGTTCTAACCTAAAATGTGTACACAAAGAAGGCTTAACTTACCTAGACCTAACTTACCTTAAAAACTTCCTTACTTTAAAATATATTCAAGTACATTGCGATGCAAATTATATCACAATTTCAAAAAATTAAATTAGTCCTAGGCCTATATAATTTTTAGTGAATTTTCTTATCAAACTAAGGTTCTAGTCGACAAAATAAGGTTAGAGGCACGATACGTTGATGTAAACAGAGAGCAGAAGCAGAACAGATTGAGTTGACTGACAGATCCGATCTGACACATCAAAACCAGCTGATATCCGTTGTCAGGTTTCAGGAAGCTAGAAAAGTTTTCAAGTCGAGTACTATATAAAAACCATCAATTCTTTGACAAAATCTATGCACCTTGGGTGGTGTCAAAGACTAACCAACACACAAGTAGACTTCTCTTTGGTGACACTGACTGATCGCTGCTGTCCATAAAATGTAACGTGAAATTAACCCTAAAATAATAAATAAACTTTATATATTATTTTAGGGATAATTACATGATTTTTGCTTTACTGTTTGGTTATTTATTTTATGTATTTGTTTATTTATTTCGACGGCAAGCAGCCAATTTACAAATTACTTGTTATAAATTACAGTTTACTATAATTAGTTATGTTATAGACTAAGGAACCAATTAGTTATATACCTAAGGGGACGATTATTGTTAATGTAGAGCTTTTTATTTGGCTAAGTTTTCAATGACTGAAATAACAAGAAACAAATTGTATACAAAATTACCCCTGCGAGCACCGGACGGAAGTAACAATAACATCATTGTCTGTAGCTGATACCCTGTTACTTTAGGAGTTTTTTATATAACTAGCGGCATATACAAAATGAATTAAATTAAATTCCATTTTTAAATTATTAAATTATTTTTGTCTATGCTAGCAGCTATCTTGGATAGTTTCAAACAGCTGCTGAAGAGTTAATTTATCGTCCAAAAATAGTTTTTTTTTTCTAAACACCAAAGTGATTAAAATTGAAATATCTAGTATAGGCCTACTATGAGATTAGAAATGTTATTTGTAGTTTTGAATTGTTCTCCATAAGGGAGTCTATGGAATGCTATGACGGCCATCTTGGATGTGCCCGTCATAAGAACCATGTTAATTTCGTTAATTTCAAACAGCCGCTAATAGAGTTATTTACCACCCAAAAATATTTTTTCAAACACTAGAGTGATTGTAATTTAAATATAGAGTATACTGTGGGATTATAATTTTTCTTTGTAGTTATTTCATTGTTTTGCGAGTTAACTTCTAGGCTCAATAGACAATTCTTTATTCCGTTAAACAATATACATTGCAATAGGAAAGTTCAGTACAATTTCAACACATTTAAACTATTTCAAGTACTCCAAAGGACTCTTAAAGATGGGAAATCTACCATTGGAGTATGTTTTGTCTATGGTATGTATAATAACCACGGCCACCTTTCAGTTATTCCAGCAGAGGCTATACATACAACATACAACTCTTTGAAAATAAAGTTCCTGGTACTTACGTCATGCAAAGGGTGAAATAAAAACAGCAAACTCGGCAAACCAATCAATCACAAAATAAATAAATAAAAATAAATAAGTAAAATAAGCTAACATAGTTTAGGTACATGAGGTATCGTAAAGTTTAAATACTACTCTGAGGTTAATTGTAAGAAAGAACGATTTATTAGCGTAAAGTTCGATTATTATAGTACCAATTTGTCGTATGATATCCGAACTTTACGCTAATAATATAAATCGAAACCTTACGTCAACTGCTTCGATACTCAGGCAAGAAAAGGGATGCGTGTAAGATTTTTTGGTGACATAGTAATAAATAATAAATAATAAATACGGTTAGAGCGTTGTTTTACTTTCTGTAAAAACAAGCACAAATCGGCTATACCATTGAGAAATAAAGAATAATGATGTATGTGAGTGCTGCTATATCGTAGGAGTATGAAGGCTCATAAAAATAAACATAAAGGTTAAGATAAGTTTCCACATGTATAACAACAAAATAAGATATATTTTTTACCCTTCTCTGTGTAAGAAATTATTATTAGTGTGGTGGCTTAGCAAAATGATCGTGACCTGATGGATTAAAGCTGCAGCTTTTGCACATTTCTTCCATACCCTAAATACAAACAATTTATGGGGGGGTGCCCGATTTTGAGGTCCGCCATCTTGAAATATGACGCCATCCTTGTTTTCTTTAGAGGAATTGAACTATTCATTGAAAATGGCCTAAAATCACCCAAAACGACACATTTACGCCATTTTGTATATAACATGTTTTGTTCACAATTAAATTTGCTATAAAATGAGATAAAAACCACTTCGATAACTTAAATAGTCTTGAAGATATAAACTGTTAAAGTTGAAAATTTGATATATTCTTCTACGCTACATGTAGTTTTTGCTATATATCACCCAAACGGTCAACGGTACGTATCTGTTATTATTATATATTTTATTCGTAATTAAATTTGCTATAAAATGAGATAAAAATCTCTAAATTAACTTAAATAGTTCGGAAGATATAAACCGTTAAAGTTATAAGCCTTTTTAATTTCTGTATGCAATAGGTCGGTGTTTCTTAAAAGTCCCCGCGCTTTGTTTTTTCTGCTCGTATTGCGTCAGAAGACTGCAGATTCACACATCAATACTGGACCTAAAATAGTACTTTTTAAAGTACTTCTTCACTTTTTTCACCCAAGGGGGGTCGGCCCACAAGGAGTAAGTTGAAAATCTTAAATAAAAGTATAGGCCATGATGCATATCAAATTAAAGAGATTTACCTGTAGATGATCAACAAGAATAAATGTATAACAAACTTATCAAGAATTGAATAAAAAAGATGTCAATAAATCTGGAATTCCATAAATTGATCGGTTTAAAGTGACAGTATTTAAAAAGTCTATCAACATGCATCAACATTTTAATAAATATGAAAGCAAACAAGAAATGCAATAACAAACTGGATCATAGGATGACCCTACTGTATTATGGACCACCAAGGATTATGAGAAACAATCAAGCAGCTATTTCCTAAAAGTAATAAAACTTGAGGAGAAAAATTCGAGATTTTTAGGAATACTGTTTCCCAAACGATGTAGTCTTGGTAGCGTGCTGTTGTAGGCAAATGCTGTAGAGTGATATCCCATTTCAAATAGGTCCTGAGATCAGGATGGTCTGGAGCAGCGAATCAAATCAGGAGAGTCAAGTTCTGCAATGAGATTCTTCCTCAGGAAAACCAGGTCAGCAATACGCCTTCGAGAACTCAAGTGGTTTAGCCGAAGATGCTGTCGAAGATCCTCAAATGGGTACAACCCTGAATGGGTATCCCAGACGAAGTCCTACGATTCTAAAACAAGAGCTGCACTCTTTCGATGTCCTGTGAACGACCAACTGTATAAATTGGGACCATACAGGAGAACAATATTCCAACAAGGAGAGCACAGCCCACACAGACAACCCATTTCTGGATAATCTCAGAATGAAACCAAGGGCTGAGTTTGCTTTCCTTGTTAACCTGTTATCTTGATCATCAGGGTTGAGATATGATGTAAATGATACTCCAAAGTCGTTGACCGAGGTGGATCTAACAAGTGCGTTCCCATTTATTGAATAGTTGAAAAGAGAGGTTGTTGAGGTCCTGTTGAATGAAACTATCATCCAATAGAATTCATTCAAAAGCATTCCATTTTGCATAAACCACATTGAAATTCCATTGATGCCCTGCTAAAGGCATTTCGATTCTGAGAAAACTTTTTACATGATTTGCGTTTGGGCAGAGATAAAATTGTTCACACAGCCCATTTTTGGAATTTAAATAGAAATTTATTTTTTTAAATTTCATAGTCCCATATAGGTATAGCATACGCTATAGGAATAGGCTATATCATACGCTAAATGTGGATATATTAGTCCGTAATATACGGATATTAGAACTTCGATGGCAGATGTGTTCTTTAAACTACGTAGAACAAAAATTCCAGAACTGACTTTTGTTGAAACCTGCTTAATGTGATCTGAGAAATCAAAATGTTTATATAGTGTCAGTCCCAGAAACCTAACACTGTTAGTTGGATGAACTGTTGTGTCATCCAGAAGTAGGCTGAATCCATTAGAGAGTCTCTTTGAAATAGAAAAGTGCAAAAGTTGGGTTTTTTCGGCGTTGACGGAGAGAAAGTTGGAATCAAACCACTCGATTAAGTTACTGGCTTCCCGAAAGGTAGTGAGCTCCAAGCTTTCGATGTTGCGGCTGGAAATGGAGAGTGAGGTGTCATCAGAAAAAAGTGTTGGTTTGGCAGTTGATATGCAAGATGGAAGGGTGTTAATGAAGAGCAGGAATAGGGTAGGTCCTAAAACAGAGCCCTGAGGCACCTCTCTCAAAATGGTGGTCTTATCAGAGGAATAGGAGCGAATGAACCCGGTTGTCAAGAATCTTTGACAACGTCAGCCATATATTAATGAATATTGGATATAAAATTGGTCCCAGTAGAGATAGATCCTTGAGGTACACCAGAAGAAGGTTCTATCTTACAAGACTTCGCTCCAGCAAATTTCATTGTTAAAAAGTCATTCCACAAATAGTCCTCAAATCATACGAGTATGATTCAGTGATCCCCAATCCACCAAGCTTTGCCACGAGATAAGTGTGACTTACACGGTCGAAAGCCTTGGATAGGTCCAAATTGACAGAATCGTCCTTATGGTTACGAGAAAAGGCTTGCATTATGTCATCCTGGTACGGAACCAAATTGGTCGAGGTAGATCGCCCTTTATTGAAGCCATGTTGATAGGACACGATGACATTCTTCAAAGAAAAAGAGAGTCCATGCAGTAGAATTGCTGGAAATATATTAGCCAATGTAGGTTGTACCACCACTGGACGATAACTTTTGACGGACGGGTCACCTTCCTTGAAAATTTGTAGTACATTACCATTTTTACGACCCCCGAGGGAACTTTCCAAGCTTCATCAAGATGAGATGAAATGGTGTTGACCATTAATTAATAAATAAGCAAAACTATAAAACTGTATAACTTTTGACCCACATGTCCTTTTAAAGTGCAGTTTGTGGTAACGCGTTCTACAGGTAAATCTCTTTGATTTGATATGCATCATGGCCTATACTTTTATTTAAGATTTTCAACTTACTCCTTGTGGGCCGACCCCCCTTGGGTGAAAAAAGTGAAG